ATCGCCAAGGAGTGACCGCATAGAAATAGTTGAGATGAAGGTGCATTGCTAACAATGGGGCCACTCCTTTCTATTACATACTAACAACACTTTCTCCCTGGATATGAATGTTAGTATTGCAAGTCAGATAACATTATATCCAGGGAGAGGATATTTGTTTTGTAAATCAGATATCATAATCAGTTAATAGACGCCAAAACAATGTGCTGACTATCTAATTAATGGAAATAGAACTAAAAATTGCCTAAATTTGCATGGCAGAATGTATGTAAAACTCTACGAAGTGTGTAATCACTATTAACCATAATTTACTCTATCACTATTTTCAGGCAAAACAAAGATATTTGTATAATCAATATAAATATATATATTGATTTTGAAGACTGCTTCGAATATTGCTTTATTTACATTATTTACAATGGCCAAAAGCTGACGGTCCTATTGATAAAAATAGAACTTATAAACTATAGATATGAACAACACTGTGTACACGGTGTATCGTATATGTATGTATTCTACCTTTCAAGCTTCAGAAGATAAGATTATAGATTACAGTAATGTTCCAAAACATGCAGCTACATTTTAGTCACAATTACGAGGAAAAAGTTTAATCGTAAACAAACTGCTACTGTATTGTAAACTTACTTCAATAGCTTATTGATAAATAGCACCCTGTCATGTAAAAAGACAGTTATCACTGCTCGGGGAGAGGTAATAAACTACATTTGACGTTGAACGACCCTACTGTCTGACAGTTATCATTCAATAACACTCTACTATTAGAAATGTAACCGGTTTTATCTCATTTGGCATGATGAGAGATGGTATTCACTCGTAAATCCGACATTCGACTACGTCACCATGACGACGGCGGCCGTCCATCGACAAAGTTGGGCTATACGAGTGCAGTAGCCCGGAAAGTTCGAGGTTCTTTGCGTAATGCGGCACACATAACACATTTTCACGTCGATTCATTACGCCGTTGGCGAACGTAAAATTGACCTCTTTCGTATGGGGAATGTCTTCGATGAGTGGAAAACTAGAGGATACTTGAAATCTGGTTACATTTTGTCCAAGACGAATCTATATAATATTTTCCAAATATAAAAAAGGTTCGTATTCTTATATAAAAAAATACAGAGAAACTGGTCTCTATATTTTTTTGGCCAAGCATTATCTCCAATTTTGGTCCGATTTTGACGTTTCATTTATTAAATTGAAATTATTTGCAGTCATGTCAATGAAGTCAATATATACTAATCTTTTGGTAGCAATGTACCATGTCAGGTACCACGAGGTAATCCTGGAAACCATCGTCGTTATTTGCCAATATGGGCTAGCGGACTCGACTTCATGCTCATTTTATCATCCTCCACTGGGGTAATACCATACTGATACATAATAATACTGGCCAACGTAAACAACAACGTTTTTGATGATAATAGAATGGTGCACCCGCCTGCGCTAACGGTTTACGCTGGCGGGGCACCAGTGGAGGATGATAAGATGAGCATGTGGTCAGGTCAGTTAACCCATCGTCACAAATTCACCAAGAATTTATCACGATGGTTTCCAGGGGGAACCGTGTGGAGGTCAACCTGACATGGTACATTGCTAGCAATAAGATAATCAATCCACATTACTAACAATCCCCTTTCCCCCTAACGTAAACTGTTAGCGCAGGCGGGTTTTCAGAGGCATTCCATATTTAGTAGCCAAATACGTGTATCTCTTTTAAGTTGAATAGTTGAGTACAGTTAACGCACTCACAGATAAGACAAACTGAAATTTGAATATTAGTAACTGTGATTACATATACCTACATATATAATAGTTATAACCATCAGTTTGACACCTTGAATAAAATTAAACAATTATCATTAAAAATACAATTTAATTACAAGTACTTAACATTTGGGAATAATTTTAAATATATAAAAATTAAAATAACCATTCATTATTTCAATTGCAAAAATTCGTGCTTAAAAATACGTCAATGATGGATAATACTATCGATAATTAATTATTTCACATGACAATGACATATATATGGGGAATTCTCATTATTTATAGGTACAATATAATCATTACAATCCGCAATGGAAACACGGTTCTATATAAATTAAAACATGATTGGTAATTTGAATTTACTTTGAATAGGTTTTATGTCACGGTCAGAACTAGGCACCTATAATATATACAATAGAATAAAAACAATTGATTGATAAATTATAAAGAAAATTGGAACAAGAACAACATACGTATTTATTTCAATGATACAGTTGTTTTGTTTGTTACCCTGATTATTTTATTAAGTTACAATCGTAACTTACAAGCCGCCTATTCTGAATATCTATTTACTAAAATAACTGCATCATTGAAATAAATACGTATAATATTGTGAATAATTATTTACTAATGTATTTTTCACATCATTATTGTAGAAAAAATCCGATATTTTAAAAATATATTAAAAGAAGGTAGTTTGTTTTTAGTACTAATGAAGTACCCAATGTAAAGATTAGAATCAGTCGTCCATCTTAATTAGTGCCCACTGATACATACACTGATAAGTAAATAATTATTCACAATAGGCGGGTTATGAGTGCGTCGTAGCCTAGTGCAGTAGTCACCAAACACCCAGACCGATAAAAATAGTCATACTCATGAATACAAATGTTTGCACCTTGCGAGGATTCAAACCCTTGACCGTCAGAATTAAAGCGGTGTGCTAAACCGCTAGACCACCGAGGCCGTATTTTCTTCTTTGCATACAGTTTAATACAAAACAAAAAACATCATGGAGCCGCAAAACTGCTGAGTAGTATAATGCAGAATATGTATCAGAATAAAAATTAAAAAAGCATAGATATACAAGCTATGGCTATAATTAGTTACGAGATGGACCATCACCAGCCAGTGTTTCATACAATATCACGACACTATTGATAATAGTGGGAAGATGTTTTTAAATGTGGGAACTGTTTTACTAACATGTGCCTACATTGAATAGTGCATATTGATAATTGGCATTGAATATATTGTTTCATTGATGAGAAGTTCCCATCAAAATATGCCTACATACAGATAATGGATGTAATCTACTAGATAATCTATCAACTGGTATATTGTATTGTACTTGATGTGAAAAATATCAAAGTAAGTATCATAAAAAAACTTAAGAATGAAATGGATTGCAGGAAGTCCATGGAAACAAATGGCTGAAGAATTCCTTGTGTAGTATATAACCATGTACTTATTAACAACTATGAATAAGAAGAAAATCTTAATATTTATCCATACTAATATTTTAAATGTAATAATGTGACTGTCTATTTGAAAGATGACTAAATGGCTGAATGGGTCTTAGTTAAAATTATATAAAGATAAATTATATTATGAAGGTGGACATAGGTTATTTTACTATATTTTATCTCAAAAAAGGCATGCATAACATATAGTTATGAGAATACAAGTGAAATCATCATGTAACTGTAACATTAAAAATGTACCATGAAGGTTTTGTAATATTGTATATTGTGATAAATAGTTGTTATTAAGTGTAGATTTCTCTTTATAGTTTATAGTGAGAACTATAAACAAATATATTACATGGTTTGTCTGTTTTCTTAGAAGTCTTAAAGATAGCCTATTTCCTAACCAATAGTAAAACAGTAATGATCATCTAATATTTTAAATCAAATTCTTATTTCATTACCACTTAGTTAGACTCAGCAACTACTGTAAATATTATATATAAATAAGTATTGAGAAAATGTACTTAAAGAAATTATTTTATAAGCAATTGTTTCACATAATCTGTATAGTATTTGCACAAACAATCAATAGTTATCTTATTAGCATTCAATGTTTTACACAAAATCAAGGTTACTGACTTCACAATAGTAGCTGAGTTGGCCTTTGACACTCAATTATCAGTGTATCTACCAAGAATGTACATTTCAATGACTGTAATATTTTTATATACCTATTCCATATTATTTTTCATACATCTGTCTATTTTTGTGCATATACTGCTTATAACATAGATTGATGTCTAGTCTTTCAATTTCATGTTAAGGAATTATAATAGTAATAGGAACTAATTATCCCATGACTAGCATTATATCGATTGATTGATTGATCGGTTGATCTCCATGTGGTATCCTCTGGAAACTGTTATAGTTAGATGCTGTTGATAAGGATAGTCTATCTGACCTCACTTCACTTCATTGTCTACTCCTAGGAGCCAGGAGAATGATTCCATGACCAACAATAATTAAAAAAAAATTTAATCTACATGGCTTCTGAACTACTCTACTTCTACTACTACTACTACTACTCTACTACACTAGAAATTAAAAGTTTTAAAATAAAATAATAGATTTACTTATACACACTGAGGAATTTCTTCTAGTCAACCGTCCAGAAGTTTATCGAATTAAATAAGATAGTCGAGAGTGAAATTAGTCCTTGCCAGGATATAACATATATTCTCGGATATGTACTCACTTCATAGGATTACTTTGAATTTGCTATCTTAGTTATATACTATAGTAAATATTCAGTTTCCTTAGGAAGAGATATAGTTAGATTATGTATATCAGTGTTATATAAATTTAATTTATAAGTTGATTATGTAGTAGGTAGTAAGACCAGTGTAGTATTTCACCCGCTATACTTCCTTGATATCAAGAGCAAACAACTTTCGCCGTCGCAACCGCACCGTCGGCTGCGCACGCGCCCTCGCGCATTCGCCGACTCTAAATGGATATTCAAGTCTGGACATGCACCGCACTACTTGACCGAAATGCTAACAACCGGGCTTCATGAATAACAGAATACACGTACTTATACACATTACGCAAGAATTGAGTACCTATGCCTCAGAAACAGTGGATAACTAACCCACGATTTTAAAAAATCATACGAAAAGCACTGTTTTTAATTTTTTTTCATTTACGTGTGTCTACAGAATGTTTATAAAAGAAAATACTCACCAATATCTTTATCGCCGCAAATCCCAAACAATATAAAAGCGCACTAACACGTTAAAACACAAACACAGAATTCACCTCTTGACATCTGACATGGTTCCATTAAAATATAGCGGGATACCACAATTATTGTTCACGGAAAAATTCTAAGAATAAAAGCGTTACCATAAAAATAATAATATTAAAAGTTAAGAAAAACGATCGCAAAAGAACCATACAAAACGTAAACAGCTGGCAGCTTTGACAGAATGCCCAAACAAACTGACACTTGCGATTGCCAACTGCCAAACCACTTTCGCCTTCAAATATTTTGCCTACATACGACTAGTGGGATTTACACTCTTGCCTTTCCGCCAATGCCATTTTTGTTTCGGTTTTATACAAGAAGTAAATAGATACATAATTTTTTATTTAAGATTAATGGATATTTATATATTATAGATTATTCAGTATTTTGGTTTATATTTCCATAATAAGTATGGATACCTAAAGATTATTTAAAAATAATGATAACAACAATACATATATAAGAAACAAGAAATTCATTTTTGGGTAAGGTTGTATGAAGTTAAAACATGAGACAGTTTATGTTATTATTATAAAAGTTCCAAGCAACACCATTATTAGATATTTGCACAACTACAAAATACGTAGTTAATGCTGGTAAAGCCACGAATTGCGGCTTCTGTTATTAAATCTACACTTCTTGCAGATCTCACATTATGGCACTGTTCTAGCAACACCGAACTAACTGACAGTTTATCCAGAGCCGCAAAAACTAGTTATAATGAAACTGACACTGACTTTGTTAACTGTCAGTTCTGTTTTCGTCATCATCAATCAGCGACTTGTCATTTCGGTCGATTGTTATCTTTCTAAAGATTCCAAAAATATATTTTTACACGCAAAACTGTGTGTTTCTTTGTTTTTCTTGTAAATTTGAAATCAAAAAGTGGCGTATTTAAATTAAGACCAATGTCGAAATTCGAAGATAATCCATTTAGTGATCCAACCATAGACAACCCGTTTTCTGTAAGTAATCCCTATGTAAAAATATAAATTTGTTTTATTTCTTTTATCTAAATGTTTACTTGACATTATTGCAGGATCCTGCTGTGCAGCAAGTAGCAAGAAGTACTAATAATGCTACACATGGTCTCGATGACTACAATCCCTTCGATGGCCAACAAAATGCAAATCGAGCTACGGTAAATGGTCTTCATGTAGTCATTTGTGGGTTATGCTGTGTGATAATTATTAGTTAGCTAACGGTATTCGCCTGCCGGTTATTTGATATTAAACCTAATGATAGCATAATGGTTTCCAAATATTTAACACTAATGGTTTTTTATCAGTATATATTTCTATCTACTCTGTGTTTATACAATTATAAATTGTAGACATAGATTAGTCATCAACAGTTCATTTTCTCATCTTATATAGCTCTAATATTAAGTGATACAATTGATTCATTGAAATCTTATTGACTACTACTAAATGTTTATATACAATTATCAAATTTACCAAACCAATGAGTCACTATTTGGCAGTTACCTTTATAACTAAATTATATTGTGTTTACTGCACAGAATATTGTGAGAAGGAAAATAGACTGTGTTTAAATATAAGAATAATGGTTTGTAGAAAAAAATTTAGTTACTCTAATTTTACTGAATTAATTAATGAATTAGTTAATTATAATACTTTATATTGTTATAGCACAATACAACTTTTTATTTCAAGCAGTAAATTAAGTAAATAGGAAGATCAAATATATACTTAAACTGAATACTATTTCAAATGTGTATCTTAAAATATAAGTATTTATTTAAAATTTAATTTATTTATATTAAAAATTTTATATATATCATATCCTAGTCCAGGGACGAAGCTATTGTTAGTAGTGGGTCCTACCAATGATCTCTCCTGAAAAATGAATTCACCATCATGAGATAACAGTAGAACTTTATAATCATCCTGTCATCTTCCACTCCACTGCACTATTTAATGTTCACCCGTAAAAATCCTAATCCAACCCTGTTTGTTAATAATATCGACTTGACAAATTCAAAATAAAGTACAATGATTAAATGATAATAATATTAATATTTTTTTATATTAAAGCTTTTATCTAAATTATAAAATATAAGTATTTATTTATTTTGTAGCTACCACAACAACCAACACAGCCCGCAATCATGCAAGCAGTGTCACCTCCCAGCAACCAATATCAGAGACCTGCACAGCCCCAGCAGTCAAGTCAAGGTCCTCCTGCTGACTTTACAACTGCCGATTTCCAGGTATATATTTCATATATCACTCTTATTGACTGATAAATAGTTGTAGTGACGAACAATTATTTAGATAAATCTGTAATTAAAATATATTGAATATCATATATAAAAATATTTTGTCATTTAAATAGGACAATCAATTTTCATAAAACTTAGTGGTTTCATAGATTCTTACAGCATAATTTATCTTAAATGAATTCATATTTCTAAATAACAAATCTGTTAAGATATAAATATTAATCCTAACCTATATTATTAAGTACAATTTAATAATTGATAATATTTTTCTTTTACATTTTATTATTAGAGTTATTCAAATCCTATGTTATGCAATTATATCTTCATTTTTTAAATTAAATTTAACATTATCATGATCCTGAAAACATTCTGTATATTGTCTTATTTGTAACTTCTGCTATTTTTAATATGTTTACAGTGTCTGCATAGTGAAAATATTAGTTATAAATAAATACAATTTATAACTAATATTTTATGTTGTATTTTATAATAGCATGTACATAATTAGTTTTACATTATCCCGACTAGCTGTTATAGCCAGGACAGCACTAATCCATAAAAATGATGTACATCAATACCACTATTTAGAGGATCTTTAATCATTTGTTAATATAGAATATAATATTGGTCATTTAATTACTTGAATAATTTCATACATATATACAGCCTGACTTGTGATATCTGAAACTGAAAAAATATTCTGATAAATAAGCCCTTTTACACACGCATTCATCCGAATGTGAAGATAAATGCGGATGCGTGCAACATACAAGTAGGTCCTTTATACTGACAAGCTCTATATTACCTATAAATACAGATAACATTTTTAATTACCTTAGTAATCATGTTTAAAGTAGCTCAATAATAATATACTCTCAATTGAATAATATTCTTATTAGTCTCTCAGTGAATATTAGTTATCTGATTTAAGAAAAAAATTCGAAACTTGAAATTTTACAACATTTTTGAAAATTTTCAGTGCCATTTGGTGGATGGCATTTCAAATATTGATGCATGTAATGGTGCATTGTATTTTAAAAAATCCAACATTCTTCATTTATTATGCTTAGATAGTATTTGTCAAAATATGAACTTAGAGTTCATATTTTGACAAATACTATCTAATCTAATGTCATTAAAATAGTTTCAATATTTACATACATCATGTGAATATAAAATATCATATAAAAAAAATAGAAATATTCTTATTCTTCAAGGTAAATTGCTCATATTATAAATAAGAAAAATGTATTAGAATATTAGTTTATTAATGAGATTTTAATTGATTGACAAAAATAGTTATATGCAGATCATCTAACTGAACAAAAATTAATAAATATAACACAAGCTTTAGCTAACTTAACTTGGGTGTAGATGGCGCTGTGTGAAATGTTCTGATATTTTTATTACATAATTTGTATTATAAAATAAGCAATGCAATTAATTATATGATGTATAAATAAATTAATGTTCACAAGAAAAAAATTCAATGCATGTCATTAACACAATTTTTTTCTTTTCCACAACGCACTGAAGGAGCTAAAGGTAAATAAACATTTGTATGATTCATATGTACCTACTTATCATTAGCTTAATCATAATTTTGATTATCATACCATATCTATATCTTTCTCGATTAGAATTTATTCACTTTCAAATTTGACGTATCATCAGAATACTTATACATAAAAAATTAGTACTTGACATAATTTTATTTTTTTTGACAGTAATAAAATACTTAGTTTTCAAAAGTGACGATATTTGTAGACTGGTACACAAACATTGTAACACCATATGTGCTTAGATCTCTTTCATATTAGTTTGTGTTGTGATTTGCATGTAAACAAACTCAAAGCCCTTCAAAAATTACATCAAAACCCATAGATTTAATGTGATATTTTTTCATCAATATAATATATTGTTTATATAAAGCAATGTGCATGTTTATGTATCTACTATTGACTCACAGAAAAACACTGAATAACCACAGCAAAATACTTGTTAGCTTTGTTTTTCACAGTAAAATGTAATTTCACTTGTTCCAACTGAATAAAAGATGACTTCAACATATTAGTATAATAGCTAAAAATTTTTCATTATAAAGTAGTATTTACATACACTGTTACATTTATATGGAAGAAACAAAAGTTTATATAACTGGAGCCTAGTAAGACTTTTATATAACGATATTTAATACATATTGAATAAATTAATTCGAATTTCTATTTTTATCCCGCAAAAACAGTAGCATTACTTTCAAGTCAACAATAAGCAGTTTAGCAACACGACTTTGCTTGCCATCTAATTCATAATATTGCATTTTGATTGGGAAAAATAATTTATATAGATAAATTTAAAAACCAGAAGATTATATGTAACACCTATTAATGTTACATTTTTCCAATTTGAATCCATTGCAGTAATTATAATTACACGTAGCGTCGTATAAACAGAAAACGGAAATCCTAGTAATATAAGCTAATAGTAATGTTGAGTAACATTAATTAATCCTAACAATAATGTATACAATGTAAAGCAGTCTTAACGGTAATTGAGACAATCGTACGCCCACTTAGAAGATCACAATGTAGGCGTTTCATTTCGCTTGAAGACTGATCTAGTCAATTTTGTGTACACTTATTTAATATTATATTCTAGTTAATAGTGTAAATTAAAACTATATAATGAATACAACTGAACTTGATCTCCAGAGGAGGCAAGAGGAATTAGAAAGGAAAGCGGAGGAGCTTGCGCGACGTGAGGCAGAACTGCGTGCTGGCTCCGCAGGCCGCCGCAACAACTGGCCCCCATTGCCCGCCTTCTGTCCAGTTCAGCCCTGCTTCTACCAGGACATCAATGTAGACATACCTTTGGAGTTCCAGAGGGTTGTTCGTCACTTGTATCACATGTGGATGTGTACGTATAACACTACCAGCATTTATTTCTTTAATGTGTATCTACAGCTTGAATACGTTATAAAGTAATTTAATTTTTAAAGTATTTTTATGATACTGTAGTGATAGGTGAAGCCATCGTATGGCTCTGTCTTTGTGCATCTAAATGCACCGCGCATCGTATGAGGCATAGTAACCTTGGTTTTAATTAAAATGGCCTAGGATTCTTTCACACAACTACGTAGTCTACGTGTAATATGTCGTATATTATATAGCAGAATAATACACATTACTTGTTAAAAGATATGCGACAGAGTACCTAAATACATATAAATGGTTTAGAAGCGTGTGTGATTAGTAGGTAAAGTAATAAACTCATTTTATACATGGCAAAAAGATATGTTCTAATATGTATTAAAAGATATACCACATTAAAACCCATATAGAACGTAATATAACCACGTAACTGAACCATTTTTATCCGAAAATCGACATCTGAAAATACATTTTGAATCTTCATATTAAGATGATAACTTGACTACGCTGTTTGTATACAGATATTAATATTTATTTTAATTTTGATTCATGGGGAAGTTTGTTCACTTCCATGAATACCATCACTGGAGTTTGGTCCTACATGCACCTCATTGCAGGTGCTCTATATCACACAGGAGGTTCTCTATTAGACTGTATTTTTTTTCTTTGTCAGAAGTCTCTATTGGATGAACCGATTTTGATGATTTTTTTTATTTTTGGTGCTTGAAAATAAAAAAAATCACGTGTGATCCCATTACAATTCCAATTTTAAAAATCGCATCCATGAGAAAACCATATGAATCTTAAATTTGCATTAAATATGTGCCTGATAAATGAACGTACAACGAAGTCGATTTTTTTAGTTAATGTATAATTATAATCCCAAACAAGCTGACAGCCCACCTGATAATAAGTGGTAACCGTCACCTATATACATGAACATCACCACATCACGTTATCGTATGAGAACCGTGACTAAGATATGATGGTTCTTATCCTGTAATTTCACTAAAAGGCTAAGGATGCAAACGACTTTTTACCTCTGATAAATTATACATATTGTTCCCATCCTCATACCGATGTAAGAAGGAATTCCTACATTATTTAACATGTTTTATACTTTGTTTCAGTTCACGCGCTGGTCTTATCTCTGAACATTATTGGCACTATGTCTATCATGTTCTCTGTTAAAACTGTCACTCCCTTCGGCCTGTCCATCCTATACTTCGTACTGCTCACACCGTTTAGCTTCGTGTGCTGGTACCGGCCGATATACAAAGCATTCAGAAGTGACTCCTCATTCAATTTCATGGTGTTCTTCTTCATATTCCTGTTTCAAATCATCATATCCATTGTCCAATCGATTGGATTCAGCGAAGGTGGATTTTGGTGAGTTCATACATTTTTGTTTTAACTGATTGAAATAGACTAATTTACAAAAGAAACTTACCACAATATATTAATAACACTACGTTCAAGTCAATTAAGCCAGTTCTGAATTTAGCTTAAATAAATAACTCTGAGCGATACAAACAATCATAGTCATGAATACAAATGTGAAAAAAACAACCCTCGACCATTGGAAGTAAAGCGGTATGCTAAACCGCTAGACCACCGAGGCCGTCAAATGCACAGACAAACATACAAAAATTATAGCAATAATTGCTTTGGGTTCCGTTACGTTGATTAAAGTCCCCCAATAATATTTTTCCCTTATATCTTCTATGTGCAGGTAGCGATCGCTTGTATTTTTGTTATAAGTATATATTTAGATTTAAGTTTGGTGACATTAGACCACCACCATTTATGTTTATTTTGTATCCCTGACATCATGCCTCGATGCGTCGCTATTCCAGAGAACTATGGTATCATGTCCCTATACCCTGTAATTACACTGGCATAACCCTTTAACTGAAACTACATACAAATCAAGTAGCTAGGTGAGTAAATAGATGAGAGTGATTTATATAGACTACTTTATACAATATCTACCTTGGTTCATTAATATTGTTTCAATCTCTAAAATATTTTTTTATTGTTTCAACTCTCTCATACAATTTCCACTTATATTTTTTTTAATCATTATCCATTATCCATGGATACAAGTCGTTCAGTCAGACACATTTTTATACAAATAACAAGAAAATTCAAACAAACTCATATTAATTGAGTTATGCTTATTGCAACTGTAATTGAAAAAATAATTCTGCTAATTTAGAATTTTTTTTGTTTCTCAGTGGACTTATCACCAGCATCACTGCGTTTGAAAACAATGTAGCTGTTGGTGTGATCACAATGCTCGTTACCATTGGATTCATCACCTGTGTTGTGGTTGATATTATGCTTATGGCGAAGGTATTTTACAGTTTTTATACTTTTTTAATACTAATAAAAATAAATTATGACTTATTTCTATATTGTAATGTTATATCAGAATATCTGCTTTTTTTGAATTTTTTTTATAATATTTTTAATTTTTATATAATAAATGTAAAGTGTAGTAAGTAAAACCTAGAAGTGTAACGTTTTTCTTAAGTGAGTATAATGGCAAAGATATGCTGCAATTTCGGAGGAAGATGTTGTCTCCGTAACCTATAATTTCACTGTCATAACTCTTATCTTCGATCTGAAACACGTTTTATTGTATGTTATAGTCTATTTTCTGTATTTAGTCTCTAGTTTGGCCTTTGTGCCTAAACGAAAAAACATACTAGTGTATGAAGCGTATCTTTTATAGTACTCAATTTATCAATTTAACAATATCCCGAAAACTATAATGATAAGAAGAGTACTCTACTTTCCTCATTTAGTCTCTCGTTTAGATGTGCGTAAGCCGAAACACAATCTGGTGTACGCAGAGTACCTTTTACAATACCTCTGCCAACAGTGTCCCGAACATATGATGATAACAAGTATGAACTCCGATGTTACTCCTATTTTCAGGTGCACCGGATCTACCGGTCGACAGGCGCATCATTGGCGAAGGCGCAGGCTGAGTTCACGACGGAGATTCTACGTAACCAACACGTGCAAACGGCCGCATCTAATGCTGCTGCCGCCGCCGTCAACGCGCAGATTGCCAATGCCAACAGATATTAAGCGGCCTGGTTAACTAATGGTAATGTTACATTATGGATCTCATTACAACATGAAATAAAAATTCAATAACTTGAAGTTAACGGTTCGGTAGTTTGGCAGTTTAGCACACCGCCTTACTTCCACGCGCGTTTTCAATTTCTCACACAGTACAAACATTTGTATTCATAATTATCATTGTTTATATCGATCTGAGTGTTTTCTATGTATAATATGTATGTATTTACATATATATATCTACGTATTTCTATCAATTATCTAGTACCCATAACACAAGCTTTAGCTAGCTTAACTTGGATTAAAATGGCGCTGTGTGAATTGTCCAAAATAAATAAAAGTTTTGTAGGAGCCTATAGGTTGCTATATAAGTTTTTTGTGTAGTGTTACACACAATATATTCCGTCTTTTTGTTTCTTTAGATATGATTGGACAAGTGCAAATGCCAATGAAGCGGTGCCGCCTCTTCATGAAAGTACATGCAACAATCAAGATTCTAGCTTCTTTTTATACTAAAATATTTATGTGTATTTACTTGGTTACATGGTATCAATTATAAATCAAATCAGATTTTCGTCACATGTATGTACCTAAAGAATTAATCAATTTAATTATAGAAATTGCTTAAAATCTAATTGTACTTTTTACTTGTGTATTGTTAGGGCTCCTTAGCATTATTATCAAAATACATTATTGGCCCGTTTGTCTGTTTTACAATTGTCTGTATATCACAGCACTTTTAATTCTAAGTAGTAGAATAGTAAACAAATAGACAATTAGACAAATAAACAATATTTTTTCTATGCTTAATTTATATCTGAAATGTAAAATAATGCGCATGAAATTCGATTGTTCTTGATATAATTTAAGGTATAATTCCAAAAAAAACATAGTTGATGTGGTATTAAAGTAATATGGTCATTACAAAATTAGGCATGGTCCATTGCAAAAAATAATACAAATTGTTGGAGAATTGATATCATTCACACTAAAAAGTAAAGTTGATTTGAGTAACTAAAGTCAATTAATGACAAAATATAATTACTATACAATGGATATAGCTTTTTTAAATCGTCTAATTGTTTACTGTTAAGGAAAGTTCTGGGCGGTTTTAAAACACTAGTTGCACAGACAAGTTGTTCTAAATGAGATTTTTCTAATTAGTTGCAAATTTATATGATTCTCTGTTGGCATGATATCTGATTTTATTCATACCGTACACATAGTTTATGAATATTAGACATAAAATATGTTTTGTTAAAATGTAGTAATTTATAGTAATTTTATGAATTAATGTTAAACAGATTAGTTTTACGGCCAAAATGTCATATGGCTGTGTAACATTTCTTAATTTAACAATATTGGACTAAATATCGTTGCGCATTTCTTTATTATAACTTAATATTTAAAAATGTTTCGATTTTGCTAGTTATAAAATAGTTATTTTCGTATACCTACAGTGAGCTTATAGACGCTTTAAATATATATGTGCAAATTGAAGTCTCTATTTATTTTAATTTCATGAATCAGTAAATAATAGAATTCAACAATCTTTCTTGTTTATTGTTTAAAAACAGTAGCGGAGCAAACTTTTGAATTGGGGAATATAATTTAATAAAAACATTCCAAAAATTTTTAAAATATTTACATCTTGGAAATTAGTGTAATTCAATTTGTAATTCATATTGAATTTTCGTAATTGTATTGGTGTGTTCAATTTTGTCATTTCATTAGTGTTTTGGACCACTTAATTAGAATACGAGTGGACGAGAGACAGTCCGCATGCATTTTTGACCAACAAAATAGAATAGTTACAATCAAAAGCATAACTGGGTGTACACAAAGAAGAATATTCTTCACGGACAAGTCTCTCGTTTACAGTTCCTTGATATTTCCAAGTGTGAATTCTTGCCCTATATACTGATTCTAGTTATTCCCAACATATGCACAAGACTTCTAGTATTTATGTAATTGTATAAAAATAGCTTAAGACAAAACTATTAAACATAGTATATTAACTAGTCATTGGACTAAACAGCTTTGAGAAACAGATCATAAACTGCTTACAATATGTTTCACCTTCAAATAATTCTCTATGACATGACTGTCTCTTGTTAGTACACTATAAATAGGTATTATTGTGTCTGGGCCTAGTTAATGTAAATTACTTACCATACCGTCCTTACCCAGATAATGGTAAGTGAAGGCGTCTTAGTTTATCTAAATGTTTACTGTTTTATAACGATTAAGTCATGTTATGAACTTATTATAATTAACAATAAATATAGTTTCTGACGATATTTTTTCTTTTATTACACTGCGGTCGTTCTAGCTTACTTTTAGTGATTGGGATTACAAGTGGCTAAAATTTACACAAAACAGTACTGAAAAATCGTTTACAGTAATAAAGTACCTACTATTAGTGCTTTTATATCGAAATATTTGCTGTAGCTGATCTTTTCGAACCCGCGAAAGGTCTTAATAAGCGACTGTAGGACGACTTACCTGACTCTTGACTCACCGCTAAGAGTTCGAATCTATGGTTAGGCCGTCGTATTTTCCATCCGTTTGGATGAACCGGGAGACCAATCGGAGGAGTCTGCTAGTGTATATCATACTAAAATACACAGAGATTTGTAATAAATATTTGTAAAAGTTTGAGTATTTTTTCATCTCTATTTAAATGACTTGTCATAAACAAGCTTCATTTATTATTCTACCGAATTATAGAAACATGACTCGAATTCAGTTCGGGCTCTAGATCATATTCGGTCCTAGGTAATTTTTAGATACTCTTGCGACCAATCTATATATGGGTAGACTTGAAAATATACAAGTATATATTAGTTTATGCATAGTATACACCACAGATAAGATAATATTACATGTATACACTATTTATTTAAGTTTATTATTATTATAAAGATAAAAATAAAAGCTTATGCATTTCATTTGTTTATTATCTTGTATTTACAATGAAATTTCATTTACCACACTTTACCCTACCTACCCAACTTTGTCATTTAATTTTTGGATACTTATCAATCATCCAGTAAAGGCTGTTTAAACTTATTTTAATGTAACCTGTTTGAGATATTTGATATACAGACTGCATCTTATATTATCATAGAACAGGTTTTGTCCTGGCAAAACTACAAAATTGAGTAGTTTAAATTTAGTCCTTAACTTTGTATGCAAACAAAATTAAAAACTCAATAATTCTTATTTTTATCAATTTGTTATAAAATCGTATGACGGTACAGTCTTATATACATTGATTTAAAATGAGGTCTTAGATTCAAAGTCGGCCAAGTGAATTTAGGAGAATCTCTAAATTAACTTGCATCTTAGTTTATCTATCAACTAAATTGTTATAATATAACAATTATACATCATAATCTTATCAAAATTAAACATCATCTCGTCAACCACAGTCCACTGCTGATTATCTCATCTCACAAACTGTCACAAGAAATATTTCTGAGCCTGTTGCATGTAATGAGAGGGATGAATTCGCCTACACAATCTTTGAATACGGGATAGCCACTACATGACATGTGACAGACTTATTGATAATGTGGCACTTTTGTTTCTTTACATTTGCTATGTTTGCGGAGCATTAGCGTGTGCATGGGCCCCAAGTCGGCTGGGGTCCTGGCTGGGGTAGTGAAGCCCCACGGGGGCCGGAGGCGGGGGTACCGGCGGCGCCATGCCCGGGCCCCAGCCGCCCCACCCGCCGGGGCCATAGTGGTGCAGGTTAAAGAAGTCGTTAGGCCGATTAGGTGGCGGTGGCATCTGTAATTATATTAAGGTATTGCTTTACTTTCTGGCGGATATATATCATATTTACTAAAATTTAATCTCAATAATCTTTATTCAAATAAGCACTTTTGAATAGTCACTCATTCAGAACACAAATTTATCACAAGAAGTAAGAGCATGAAAATGGCATGTTGCTCCTTGAAATATATGTTTTTCGAAGTAAATATATATTAACAAGAACAAAGCATGTGACATTCAACATAAAAACCGCAATTCATGCAATGAGATAATGAATATTTAACAGTTCTTACTTGAGGTGGGAATGGATGTAAGAAGGCTGGCGGCGGTGGCAAAGTACCAGGAAGCCCAGGCACAGGCTCCAATGCCGGTGCAGTCTCATTCTTCTCGTTTATACCTTGACGTCCTAAAAATAGTAAGTAAATATTATATTAATTGTTTTTACAGAAATACAAAGATGTACTTATTATATAAATATATAGATAAAAATTTAGATAATAGAAACTATCAAAATTTCAATTTATTATTGTGATTATTATTCATTCTTCAAAGAAATTTACATAAAACATATAATGGTAAAAATTACAGTGACATTTAAGGTATAAATTTTCCAAATTGGGATGCACATCAATTTCCTAAACCAAACAAGCAATTCTGAATATTACTGAAAATAAAAACAAACAAAGTCATAATTATTTGTGAAAGTGGTGGACTACTAAAAGAACAACCTTTTTTTTCGTTATTTATACACTAATACATACACAATAGGAGCAGAGGAGTAAACTTAATAAAAGTGTTCTGTGATATCTGCTTTATGCATCTGTGATATCTTTTTTGTTTCATATGTAATTGTAAATACTTGCCTTGAGATTTTCCCCATTTGATTGTGAGCCTCTTGCCACCAATCACCAATCTGTTGAATGTCTTCTCTGCTGCATGCTCAGCTGCACTCCTGGTAGTGTACTGTACGAATGCACATTGTGCCCTTGGTACCAGAGTTAGAGACCTAGAAGTTATTCATATAGTTTATATATTTTATTATGGTTACAAATTTACATTTTACACACATATAATAATGTATCTATATATTAAAGCTGCATAGTTTTAGGGAAAACACTGTGATTATATAAATCAGATCTGGAATACTTAGAAGGGGCATGTCTATAAAAAATAACAATTAACCATTTGCAGGAAAACTATGTTATTGAGAAAAGAATATGAATTATGCAATTTTTTATCACTATCACACAATAGTACACAAACTTTTACACTGTGGGGAACAGTTATAGTGTATAACTTTAACTTAACAAATGTGTTTAAATATTAGAGATGGAATAACAAACTGAATAATAATATAGTACGATCCATTCTATTTACTTTACAAAAGTAACAACACAAATTCTTGTGTTATTGACTACCATAATTACTAACTAACCCAGCTATGCATTGCCCTAGCTCAATTGTTCTAATATAGAGGAAAACATACTATCCAACTTTAAGGTGTACCAAATAACACAATGAGTCACATAAGAACTTGTCAACTAATATTACAGACTGTGATATTCTGAAAACAAATATTACATTACCTTATTTCACCATATTGATAGAAATGTGCTCTGAGTTCATCCTCTGTGATATTCTCAGGTAAGTTCCCTACATACAATGTAGTAACAGTTCTGTCTTCAGGTGGAGGTAATGCTGGCATGGCAGCTGCCCGACGCATCAGTTTCTCAGCCACTGGATCATTCACACCGTAATATCTAAAATACATATTAAACTTATTTTAGTAATTTTATTTACATAGGGCCTGAATTTTACTATCCATTAAAGACTTTGGTATTAAAATATTTATATAAAAATCTAAACATCCTACAAATGTAATTTATTTACTAATAATGTTTGTTCACTTTAATATTCATTAAAATATCTTTACACAGATATTAACAATAACACTATTTAATGTCTAATCTAGGTTCATTTAAATTTTGCAATTGCATTTTGCAGGGCTCAGAACAAAAATTTCAACAAAGAAATAGGTGCTTTACTAAAAAACCATGAAAACAGTACTTATTTAGATCACCACCTAACCACACTAACTAGTAAATACATTGATGAATAATGTATTTACTAGTTAGTGTTTTACTTTATACCAGTTAGTGGTATAAACTACTTATTAAATCTGCTTTACAATAAGACTAATTTTTAACATCTTCATCATCTACTTGACATCGCAATTTCTCTACCTGTCTATATTACTTGTCCAAATTTAGACACAAATTACTATAGTTATGAATTAAACAATATTTTCAATTAAAAAGTTTACCTATCCTTAATATTTTGATCAGCCAGAGGATCATCAGGATCTGTAGGCTTCTCATGGCGATATGGACATTCTTCACCTCTCCGACACTCTCCTTTCACCCAGAAGGAACAGACATGAGGTCTATTTCTCTTATAATAAGGTGCAGTTCTAGCTAAACGCAGCAATAGATCTGATGCTCCTTTGGATTTCAATGCAGAATTGCTGGGCTGCGTTGCATCAAACTTGGACATTTGATTATCTAAATTTTGTATATAATACTCCTTATTAACTTCATTTCGAGGTAAGTCATCTTGAATCTTAAGGGCAGCATCTCTAACTTGTATTGGTAATCCATATTCTAAGTCCAGTAGACATGTTTGGCAAACATTTTTCAATTTAGAACATGTTTGGCATATTTCAGTTTTTTTAAAACGCATTCTGGCACCAGGACACCAGCGGAAGACAGTGAATGGTCGTACACATATTTTACACTCCTTGCCATACTTTTCTTTGGTCTAAAATTAAATATATATAACATTAATAACAAAATTAACATTAGCAAGTACGAAATGTCACACAAATATTTTGTACATACCATTCGAATGTATGGGTTATCACCAAGACATGTTTGACATAATATAGGAAAATCCTGAAACAAATACAACAAAATTTTAATTTTACAATTACAGTGTTAAGACATATTAAAAGCAATTTCAGTTTACTTACGGAATCCTCCCAATTTTGTCGATTGTAAGTATTTGTAGATTTTGAAACTGCCATTACCGAGGTAGCAATGTAGGAATTAAAACAAAAAAAAATCTGAATAATTAATAATTTAAGCAATATTAAAATTGAAAGGTATATTTTCAAAACTGTATATAAAAGACATTTATTTCTCTTTCTTGTCAAACAGAATTACAAAAAATTAAACAGTATATGACGAACAACGTGACGCCATTTTAAGTTTTTTTAATATAAGTAGAGATGCAATCGGACATCGATTTATTTAAAAATCGATTCTTTAGAGAAAAAAAATATTTTTTAAAATTAATACATGGCGCAGTGTTTATCCAGAGAATCAATATTTTACTTCAGATAATCGAAATTCGTTTTTTCATCAATTTTATAAAATTATTTATAATTTTGTAAAAAGTCATAATCTCAGTCGCCTCTTGTTTTAGACTAACTAAATAAAATAGAAATTTGGCGTATCCTAGCTTTGTTATTTATATTACCATTGTGAATTATAGTGTATTTATATATTTTTTAAAAATAAATCGAGATCGATTTTTATTAAATTCTATTAATATTAAAAGTAGAAACTCAAAGCTTAAAATAAAGTGATTCAACGGAAATTACATTTTAAACTTTTTTATCAGATTGCGATCATCATCGATTCAAAACTCAATCTAATTCGAATATAATTAACATTCTTAACAAAAACTTGAAGAAAAACAAATTTTATAAGAGTATGAAGATCTGGAACTGACAAAACATTCAGTGTGAATAGATTAATAATAATTTATCAAAATTCGATCCGAATCGATTTAAAAAAGATCTTTCAGTAAATAATTGTTATCCCTATGTCCAAATCAGTATTGGTTGATTTGCATTCTTATTTGACGTATTCGCCGCCGTCAAATTTGTCAATGTCAAAACTTCCAGTTAATAGTTTATAATTTTTTTAATGAACCTGCTTAAATCCGCGAATTTGGTTAAATTATTTAAAACCAAGATAAATTTGTATTAACAGTGTTTTGCGTTATTTGAACAAAAAAAATGTCAATAACAACATTAGTATGTGAAGTTACTTTAATATTATAACTATAGTCTTCAGTTACCGGTTATCTTTAATTACTTACATTTTTCTTTCAGTATTATTTACAATTAAAAAAAGATAATGCTCATGAAGACTCAGTTTGGTGTTGTACTTGGAGCCGCATCGGAAAAGAGAAGCAGAAAGAGGACGAAAACGCAGAAAATAACGAACATTCTCAGTGAGTTTTATAACCTAAATAACATGTTTATGTTTTGTTATTATTGCTAATAGAGATCATTGCCGAAGTGTCGCAAAATTTATTATATATTAACGAAATTGTTGTTGTTAATATATAAATATGTTCTAGAACATTTTTTATAATAACAGTTTGAAGTTTATCAATACATACTTTCTCAAGAATTTCTAGTATAATAACATGTATAGTATATAATAAAGCTACACTAATTATCAAGACCACTTTAGACATTCAATATTAATAACAAAATCATATGTTATAAAAATTTCAGAGACTCTAACCAATCTCAAGAAGCTGCAGAAAACTATATAATTACAGGAGGACTTGATGATTTAATAAAAATTTGGCAACTTGAGAATGGGAAATTAGAAGTGAAACATCAGTTGGAGGGGCACTCACTAGGTGTTATATCTGTTGCTGTTAGTCCTGATGGAAAAAGTAAGTGGAAGAAGTTAATATGTGATGAGATCTATAAAAAATCTTATTTGTCACATAGGGACCACCATTTTTTTTATTGTTAATTACATATATTACTTTTAAATATGTTATTATTGTACAATAATTTGAGTTAGACATTATTTTGACCCCCAGATCCAGTCCCAACATGTAAATTAACTTTTGTTGCGGAAATACCTGCTGGTGGGCATGCGGTCTTTGACATGTTAAATACTGTCCACCAATAACAAAAATGTTTTATTTTAAAATGTATTTCAGCTCTGGCTAGTAGTTCCCAAGATTCCTCATTAATACTGTGGGACATAGCGTCTGGAGAAAAACTGAAGATGATGGAGACAGGTCCTACAGACGTGTGGACATTGGACTTTTCCCCTGATGGTAAACATGTGATATCTGGAAGTAATGCAGGCAAAATATTGATATTTAGTGTGGAGACGGGCAAGCAGGAACAGACTTTAGATACTCGTGGCAAATTCACACTCAGTGTTGCTTATGTGAGATATTTTATTTGTCTATTATTTTATAATTATTGACTTAGTATTTGCCATCAGAGATTTGCTAGAAGCATAGTGTGACACCGTGCCTCCAATATGTCATGCCTTGTATGCCATGGCACCTCAAGGCAGAGTGTTTGGTTTTTTATTAGGTATAAATACAGTCAACCCTCCTATAACGCGGTACTCTCAGAACGCGGTTTCCATATAACGCGGAGCTGAAATTGCGACAGCCCTCCTATAACGCGGTACTCTTACAGCGCGGTTTCCGTTCAACAACGTCCCATCAGTTCTTTCCGTGCACCCAATGAATGGTTTTAACTGGATATGTTTATATCAGCGTGGTTCACGGGTGGGTGGTTCTCCTCATGCGCTATCTTCCACTTCTATTAACTAAATAGTTTCGCATCGACAGCGTGCCATGCGTGTGTGTGTCTAACGAAACTGTAACATGAAAGATATATATGTGATCTTTTGACTACATTGTCGCGTGAACTGTAGAAAAACTACGTTCTGCATATGTCTTAGCCGCTTAAAACCAATGTGAAGATCAACCAAGTGAGGAAGACATTTTGCCCATTAAAAGAAGGCGAGTTAGGCGACTCATATCTGACAGTGAGGATGAGTGTTGAAAGATTACATCATTTTACAAAAGTCTTTCTTTTGTTTTTGTTGGAAAACAGTTTTTTAGTTTAGTTTTTGTTTCATTTTTTTCATCATTTCCTTATTTTTATTGAATTGAAGAGTTCATACTCTTCAATTCAATAAAAATAATTTATAATTTATCTTGTCTTTTGTATTTATTGGTCTCCATATAACGCGGTACGAATGATGTGATTTGTACTTATTATTATTACAGACCATAAGCCGCTTGTTGGTCTTTTCAATCCTGTAAAACCCATTCCTGACCAAATATCACCAAGACTGAGTTTCTTATAGCGCGGTTTCCATACAACGCGGTACGCACTCACCGCGTTATAGGAGGGTTGACTGTACCACCTTGGTGGGGAAAATTTATGTAAAAAAAATCCACATGACAAAACACCGAGTTTTTTAATTATAATACAGACATTTACTTTTAGTATCCACTATTATATTTCTATAATAATAATAAAAGAAACATAATTCATTCAGAAATATCACATATAAGAATTGTCTTGTACAGTCTTGATTATTCTATATCATTCTCATTTATTTCAGAGCCCTGATGGTAAATATATTGCAAGTGGAGCTTTAGATGGTATTATAAACATATTTGATGTAGCACAAGGCAAACTAGTCCATACATTAGAAGGGCATGCAATGCCTATCCGTAGCCTGTGTTTCTCACCGGAAGTATTAATACCAGATGATTTGTGGCCAGAGATTAAATTTGTGTACATGTGAGTGTATGAAAACAGTGTATAAAAGTATGTAATTCAATTGATGAATCTATTTAGGATGTAAATTGAGACTTAAAGATTATAAGGGGGAGATATGTTATGTATGTAAACTATGGGTAGAGACTCACAACTTTTACTTACTGCATCTGATGATGGACATATGAAATTATATGATGTGTAAGTATTTTACATTTTTTGAAAACAACCTCATATAGAGTGTATACAGTCTGTTTGTGTAGTGTTTAGCAACCATCACTAGAAGACTACAAAATTACATAAATCATTTACTTTTACCAAGGTGAGAAATTACTATATTGATGCTTGTATGATTAGGAGTCAACGATTGTGATGACTATGCTGGTGATGCCAAACCATTCTGGATACAATTATCATATCATTACATGACAACATTATACATACCTACTAATTTCAAACCAAATCAAACCCACTAGGACTGCATGGTTTCTATACAATGTTTTATATGTATAATGAACTATGTTATAGTATATGAATGTACATAATTATTGTGTTATTTATTTGTAGGGTTCATGCAAATTTAGCTGGCACTTTATCAGGTCATGCATCCTGGGTGCTATCAGTGGCATTTTCACCTGATGGCAAGCGTTTTGTATCTGGAAGTGCAGACCGAACAGTAAGAGTTTGGGATCTAGATAGCATGCAATGCCAAAATGTGTTCAAAGAACATAGTGACCAGGTGACTATTACTGTCGTGATTTATTGCATTTTTTATATGCTCAATACATGATATGGTATATAGTATTTTACTAAACAATATTTTCTTTATGTAATTTCAGGTTTGGGGTGTGAAATTTAATGCAGAAAGTAATAAAATTGTATCAGTATCAGAAGACAAAAGTGTAAATATTTACGACTGTCCATTGTAAATAGTATTTTATTATTTACAAGTATTTTGAATAAGAATAAATATATATGTTTAACTGTACAAATATTGTATATTGTGATTTTTATGGAAGTGAAACACTCTTCTCGACTAAAGTGGCGACCATATAAATTACGTAAATTACACGCTGCAGTGCGTTTCTTTCCGTTCATTGTTTTATTTGCTTCTTCTGGAATATCTTCATCAAATTTTTACCCTAAAAATACAAAAAAATATATCTTTAGGGTAAAAATTTGGTGAAAGATTCGATAAACAGAAACTACTATATTCCTAATCTGTTCTTAACAAATATTTAAAAATAAAACACGGAGGTAAAATTTATAGAAATACTAGAGAATCAATAAATCTAACTAACCAGTAATTTATTTTCATTTTTCTAAGAAATACATAGTCACAGTATGTATTGTATGTACATATTGGCAGTGTGGTCTATATTTCTTAGCCTGTGCTCGGGGCCCATGATTTAAAAATGTCAATGTCAACGTCGTCAACTGTCAAAATAATTTTTGAAAGAATTTTATTGTTATTTATTGGTTATGTATTATTATTTACTTTAAAAATGCATTTATTAGTTTAGTTCTAAATAGATTACTATTGTAACAAAGTGGTTATTATAATACTGTATTTAATTAAACACGCTTCCAAAATGCCTACTACATCTATGGTAAGTGAAGTTATAGAAACATAGTTACTGAACTTTAATTTAAAGATTTATAAACTTAAATAAGTTAATGTTTGTTACAGTACTCTATTCTATTAAAAAAGGAAAATGCTCACGATGACCCTATCTACACGTGTGCTTGGGTAAAAACAAACACAACAGGAAACCCCAAGTAAGGGATTATTTACAATTCTCTCAAATTATGTAGTTTTTATTACATTAATGCAGGCAATTACGAACCCATACATAAGTGTTATACAAAAAATATATCTTAAATTTTAAGTTCAAATCATATGCAGTATCATCTAATTAATTTTATATTCAAAAACATCTCATACCATATGGTATGCTTAACATATTGCAAAGTGGCTATTTCTATTTTTGAAAATGAATTACAGAGGTTTTTACTTACCTATTACTTTTGCACAAAAATTACAGTCATTACTTTTAATTATATTTTGATAGAATATGTATATTTCATTCATGTGTTTTTAAGAATCACTTCTACTTTTGTTACCAATAGATAGATATTATTGTAGCATTTAAAATGTAGATGAACATAAATTGATGATGTCTATTTCATTTCAGTGACATTGCCAAAGACTTCATAGTTACAGGAGGTTTAGATGGTTTAGTAAAGATATGGTTGTTCAACAATAACAAATTAAATCTGGTTCACAACTTAGTGGGTCACAGTATGGCAGTTGTCTCCGTAGCTGTTAGCCCCGATGGCTATAGTAAGAAATTGTTCTAAGTTCTAAGATCTTTTTGTTATATGAAGACTTTCAAGCATCAAATATGATTCTGCCTAGAACTAGCTTAGTAAACAAGAATTAAACAAACAATAAAATTTTACTCCCCATATTTTTTTTAATGTAGATAATAAACCACAAGCTTTTAGAATTTTTCTGATACTGAACTTATAATGGTAGTAGATAAGGTATTCTAAAGAAGAAATAAAAAATAATATGAGAGTAATACATTGTTTACTTATAGTGTATTCTATAATAAATAGCTGGACATGATTACATATAATTGTACATAATTCTTTTTACATTTATGACTGCTTACATATCTATGACACATGTAAAATAATGGAATATTAATGGTATTTAAATGTATATGAAGCACTATTACAGTATTTTATTGTTTCGTGGCTGGATAATAATACAAATGTTTTAAGTATTGCAATTTACATTTTAGCAATAGCTAGTTCTTCATTAGATTCAAGCATAATTATTTGGGATCTGGTCTCTGGTAATAAGGTATATGAAGTGCAGACAGGAGCAACTGAGACATGGAAAGTGACATTCTCACCAAGTGGCACACAGATAGCGTCTGGTGGTCATACAGGGAAAATAATTATTTATAGTGTTGAAAAAGGGAAACCAGACAAAATTTTAGACACAAGAGGAAAGTTTGCATTGAGTGTTGCATGGGTAAGTACATGTCTTCATATAGAAATATATCTTAAGTTGTATCCTAGCTCCTGTAAAACTGAAGACAACTCAATCATTATCGAAAATGAAATGGATCTGTTTGAAACATATCACACAATAACATTTAATATCAAACTAAGCTTAACATGTACTATAGATACTAAACAAGTGCTAAATGCAAATACTGAATATATATATGATTGTAGGAAATATGTATTCAGCTACATTTGTTTAAAAGAGTAAGGAGCAAGTTTATTGTTTATACTTATTTCTGAAGAAGTGGTATTATAAAAAGAGCTATTCATTCAACACATTATATTAAGTTTATTTCAATAGAAAATATTTGTTTTTCTTATTAGAACTTCCAGTTCTTCCGGGCGCTGCGTAAACGGTTAAAGTTACGAAAATATATGTATGTCTTTCTTTTAAGGTTAACTCACTAACCTTTTTATGGTAATAAAATTTCTTCAAAAACAATGCATTATTTTCGAAGGAGTTTTTATAAATATTTTATTAGTCCTTATCCAGATGCTAGTATTACCGGGTTTCTAGTGTATTCAATAATTTAATGTTTTATTGTTGTTGTAGAGTGCAGACGGCAAGTATATAGCGAGTGGTGCCATGGATGGCACAGTATCCATTATGGATGTGGCTCAGGGCAAGCTGTTGCATACCATTGAAGCACATACTCAGTCTGTTCGTAGTGTCGCCTTTTCACCAAATTCACAGCTTTTAACTACCGCCTCCAATGATGGAAACGTGAAGATTTATAATGTGTAAGTTACATTACAACCTAATAATGTAAGGTGCCTTGTAATACTGCAAGAATCAGTAATTCAATGTATATAATAACGAAGCCGGTACACGCCGCCCTACCTCGGAGATAGTTAATGTTGTAGTGCGTATCAGCTAGTCACGATGTTTGTACATGGAAGATATGTGAGATAAACGATTATTGGAAAACTTTATTAACATAATAGAACTCAAAATAAAAATTGTTAGAACAATATACAAATTTTGCCAAGCAGAAGAGGAAAAGCCACTACACATCCTATGTGGTTGTAGCCCACTCATGCATAAACGAAATATATCCTTTTTTGAAAAGTATACACGCTATTATCTTCTGAGGAAATTAAAACCATCGCTCCTAGGAATATCCTTCAATTCTTGTCCCTCACGACTAGATAGCGAACTTTGAAAACGGTCGAGCAAACAAATCTATGTAGGTCGCAGTGTTACAGGTCTTAGCACTTGAGAAAAGTCCAAAACCTCCAATAAAAATAATAGGCTATGACTGTATCAAAAAATTAAAGGAGTTGGTTATTGGCAGCGCAAGTGCAAACCCTCAAAGCAAGCTTCTTCACAACACGTGGGCGTTGTGTGCGAATATTTCTTCCGACGGTACACGCGTAGCCACCGCTGCCGCCGACGGCCGCGTCCGTGTCGCTCAACTGGACGGTCTGAAGGTCCTCAACGAGTTCCATGAACATACAGACACTGTAAGTATATATTAAATTTTGTTGTATATACATTTAGACTGTAATTGAATAGAATAGAAGGAATCTTACTAATATTCGAAACGCCATAGTTTGTGCGTAATGATGGATGGATAGATTTGTTCTTCTCTCTTTCTCTTTCACGCAAAAAACTTCTGAACGGATTTTGATGAGACTTTACGGTAATGTAACTTATACATGAGAATAACATATAGGCCATAATTTAATAGGATATTATGTAAATTAGGCGAAATACTATGATAAATGTCAAGTAAGTGTGATGCAGACGTAGTTGCGCGGGTCAGTTAGTCTTTATGTAATAAACTTAATATAAGCACTTTCGAATTGTTATATTTTCGACCAACTCTTGCATGAGAGATACGAAGTTTGACTGAGGGCACAGCTAGGGGTTCGAATCTAGGCTCAGGCCATCGTAGTTTCGATTCCCGTTTGAATGGGACAGAGGATCAATCGGAAAGGAAGAACGAAACGAAAAGAATTCTGGGCGTGTGTGCGTGTTTGATTTACACTTTACTGTATAAATATTTATGTATTTCGTCATTTTTAAACAATAACTTTTTCTTTATATCATTATCCACAAAAAATATAGCTTGTTCTGTATTCTATCTACTACGGCTATTATATTTTTCAGGTGTGGTGTCTCCAATTCAACGCTAGTGGTGATAAATTAGTTTCAGTGTCCAAAGATAAGTGTATAAACATTTATGAATGTCCGCTACCACCGAAAAAGAGATAGTGAACAATGTAATAAAGTTAAAAAACTTATTTTTATTGCAATAAAAACTATATTGGCTAAACATCATTGTATTTATTTCAGCTAATGATAATTTGTTACTTGGAGAAAATTTACAAGAGATGCAGTGTCTCTTGTCGTTCATAGAAAAATAATCTTAATTGCTAAATAAAGTGCATTATCCTTATAATTTAGATATATGTAGATTGTAACTAATATTATAAATACAAAAGTTTGTTTATTACTCTTCCGTGCCGTATTAACTTACCCCTCATGATATTTGATATATACGTAGCATTTGGGATGAAGAACTCTATAGAGTAGGCAGTTTTTATCTTGGTCATTCATATACCATATACGTGGGTGGACGATATTGCGAGTAGAAGCTTGTAATTTGTATTTTGCTCCTTAGGATCGATACATACAGTCTTAAACCACAGAAATGTGAATATAAGTAATCTAGCTGTTGTAACTGGCTAATCAGATATGTATTTTATGTTCTAAATTTGTATTTAGATTTATAGTTCTTTTATATTACTTTCTTGTTTTGTTACTTCGTTCATTCTGTTGTCAGTAGTCTTTCTGAATACATTTTCTCCGTATACCAAATCTTTTTCCTTTTAGCTATACATGATTAAAATAAAGATATAACACTAGCAATTACCAAAACTCTGAAATGTTTCCTAATAACATAGTAATACTAATAGTACCTACCTATATTTTAATTGGTTTCAAATTATCAACTTTCAGATATCATACAAATCAATAATAATAAACTGTTTATTGTGTACACAAAAGAAACGATAATAAAAACAGTAAATAGAAAAGTAATGACAATAGGCGGTCTTATTTCTAACAGATCAATCCTTGGAAATGAATTAATAAATATTTATTTACAAACACAAGAAAAACGTGTTCACTGTTTATTGTAAATAAACAATAATGAATAAATAATATATAGTAGTAACTGCATCATAGTTCAAAATCGATTTGCCAAGACTCGTCGCGTCTGCTACCGACCGTCCGTGGCAGCCCCTCCCTAAGCCGGCCCGACGGCGTCGCACTGCGTCTCATGATTAATTTTCGGCTTTAAGAGGATTGAGATTACAGCGACCGTACCGTTTTCGGCAGGATTTCGTTGCAGGATTTAAACTCTATAATAACACATCTAGATACTATATAGATATTTTATGTGGATGGTAATGGAATGATGTACACGCTTACGCTAACGATTTATGCTGGTGGGGCACTAGTGGAGAATGATAAGTATGCATTAAGTCAGACCATGTTGTTTGCCAAATGGAAATTTGCCACCATGGTTTCCTGGGGGATCCGAGTGAAGGTCAAGTAGACATGGTACATTGCTAGCAATGAGGCTATTAGTGTACATTACTAACAATCCTCTTCCCTCGGCACTATATAGGGAGATAAAAGTAAATTTTGGATACATTAGTAAATAAATAAGTACTTTCTGTGGCTAAGACGTGCATAGATGGCCATAGATCGATATAAATTCACCACCATACGGTCGCCACTGCTATTATAAATTCGAGAGTGTGTCGGGCTGTCTGTTTGTCACCTTATCATGACTACACGGCTGAATAGATCTTAATGAAATTTAACGAGAAGATAGATTGTGTCACGAGGACAGATATAAGTTATATATTATTTTTTTATAAAACATAGCAAACGAAGTCGCGGTTAACAACTTATATAAAATAAATTGTTTTGTAAATTATTAAAAATGTTACTATTTGTCGTCAGTTTGGTTATCATAACATTACACTGGCGCCCAACGTGGGACGATGACGTTATAATGTGACATCATAAATATAACAAAGTGTAGTACTGGCGCTACCGTGGCAGATTGCCGTAGAAAAATGAATTCGCGTGTGGAAATACAAAATCACAAAGATGTCTATCAGTTTATTAGAATAACAATTAGGTACATATTAGTAAAATTTTGTGATGTAACCAAGTGCCCAGTCGTGGGAACAATATATCTGAAATCATAACAATTTCTTTGACAACTGTTAGATAAATAATGCACAATGAAATTCCGAACATGAAAGTACACATTGTGTATTTCCACCGCGTCATGAGCCATTAAACAGGTACATAATGGGAGGTATTTATCAATAATATTTACATCGGTAGCAACCGAATTGGTATCGGCTTAATTTGCGGGGAATTATGCGGCGGCGGGCGCCCGGTGGGAAATCAACTTTACATTCAATTTGCCGTTGCACAGATAAAAAGCAATCTCTTCATTTTTACCTGCCACTCAGTGGGGGCCAATCATCGACGTGCAATTTCTATTGTACTTTTAGAATACAGAAATGTATCCATCTTATTACAATATATAGTTGCATTACGAGTAACTCTTAAGGTAAACGGGAGACTGAGATTTTGTTCAAACTCAAAAGCATTTATTTATCTAAGACACTGTTGATAGATTGTTAAAGCGAATTTATCAAATCGAATCAAAATTGTATAGGTACTGTCGTTCGTTATTAATTTTTGACGAAGTATATATACCTACTGATTGAGTAGTGAGTAAATCGTGAAAGGCACTGATTGGTATAGTAAGATACAGCAAAATAATCGACATAGTAGAGTTAGAGACTCAAATGACTCTACCAGATGATAATATAATTACGGTGTTTATTTTCCGTCGGGCGGACAGTTACGATACTTTCATGGCAGACAGAAATTGGGTCTTTCCTAATAAAATATATACACAATATTAAGTTATACAATATTGCGGAAAAGCATAGTACCTACTTGAAATGGATCACATGACCGCCCGGTTTTTACCTACTTATGAAAAGTAAAAAAAAAAACAGATTTCGAGTGTAATTATTAAGCTGAGTTGTTCAATTATCTTACAGATTTTATTTTGGTATCGTTACGACAAAAATATCATGTTTCATCACTTTGTAGACAATTTCGGTAGATTAGTAGTGCAGTAGGTACTGTCTTATGAGCGCAGTTCAATTCCCGCACCATACAAACATTAGTATTAAACTCATGTTTGTACTTACAGCTTTGTATATTGATTTAGGAGCTTTTGATGTATTTTATATTATCATATTTTTGGTTTAAATTGTAGATACATAAAATATATTGATACCTGTATCAATATATTTAACTTAATATCTTAATTCTTGTATCTAGTATTCATAGGTAATACACAAGCTTCATTTGGGACAGGATAGTGCAGTGCAACTTGCCAAAACTGTATGTATAGTTTATATATATTATTATTAAGATAAAGCTATGTTACTTACTCTATATACGAGAGTTAACCAACACTTTTAATCACTCAGCTGTAAGTACAAGATTCCAAGTGCGCAAGATACGGTCATCCGATATGGCCAGTATTAAACCAGTTGTTGGTCACATAGCTGATAACTCATATTGTGTCCACACACGATACGGAGGTATCGCTGTCGTAATCACGGCGCGCCGCCGCCGGCTCCATTCAATGAGATGAAATCACTATGCGGCTCTATGAATAATTCAGGTGCGGTCCAGTTACCCCCTTCTCAACCCCACATATGCTGCTACCTCCCAATAATGCTGTAAAACTGTCAATAGCCACTGTATGAGTTATGAATTATTTCTAGATCTCTCTAACGTTATCTAGTTTAAACTACTGTCGTAGGGCGAAGTTTCGTATTTTCTATGCGAGTGTATATGTGATTATGGATAGATAATCTTTTTTATTATTTAATAATTTAGGAAATGAAATTTGTATGAGAAATTTGATGCTATTTATCTATGTATATTTGTTGAAAACACTTCACTCAACTCTTCTGAATCAATTAATTTGTTTCTATAACGTTTCTCTGTTTTGTAATTTGGAAGGATAATTATCTTTAGCGTTTAGAAATTGCTAGGTAAGTACAAATGTAATATCATTTACCAAATAAATACCTAACGATTTAGTTAGATTTCACAGTATGCCCATACAATATACATATATATTTTGTATTTTTTAATAGGTATATGGAAGTAATATATAGATAAATCAAAACAAATTATATTTTAAACAAAATAATTTATTAGCAACTATCGTTTTAAATAAATAATAGCCTCAGGAACTAATCTCGAATCAGTTTAGTGCTGGTAAGAGATAACGGGGGATGAGTAGGATACATGAGCGAGGGGTGCGGTGTATGCGACCTTGGCTACAGGAGCAGCATAGGCGACCTTGGCGACAGGGGCGGCGTAGGCTACCTTGGCTACGGGGGCGGCATAGGCGACTTTAGCGACGGGTGCGGCATAGGCAACCTTCGCTACTGGAGCAGAATAGGCTAAGGGGGCACTGTAGGCGACCTTGGCTACGGGAGCAGCATAGGCTACCTTGGCAATGGGTGCGGCGTAGGCGATCTTGGCAACTGGAGCTGAGGCAGGATGACCCTCGTAGCGTACGATAGCGTTGAATCCGTTTACTTTATCAGAGGTGTATTCGACAATACGCTGAACGCCATCAGGTTGGATTAAAGAATAGAAACCCTGCACGGCATCACCGGCGCGGCTCTCCTTTTGTTGTTTTACATCCCCAGTGTGATCATCATGGACTGAGTATTCAAAATCGTAGTGAGCTGGTGCTTCAGGCTCAGCATACACGACCTTGGCAAGAGGAGCCAAGGGGACGGCTGAGGCGGCCACAGCGAGGGACAGAATAACGATAAACTGTTGAAAAAAACATTAAATATTTATATATTGCAAATACGCTAATACTGTTAGTAATTTATTTATAATTTCTTAATAATTACATAGGTATATGGAACTAGAAGAATATGTATTATAACTTAGTTCTTGTAACTTTATATATGTATATATGTTCTTATATATACCTATGAAAACATTTATACATTATATATTAAGTATGCAATTTACTGGTATTCCCCATATTATCAGCTATTGATGCTATTCTCTAGTAGGACATATCTAAATTCAAACCGTCGCTAGAGTATTTATTTTTATCTACAGAAAACATCCTGTAGGAATTGTTGTGAAGGATATATAGGTTTGACGGAGTCACACGATTATTTACTATTAATTAACAGACAACACCACTTACTTTAGCTGCCATTGTTCCTGTTTGCTTGTTGTAACTGAACTATGCCACTGTTTGGCACGTATCACTATATATACATGAATATTCGCCTACAGGCAGTGTTTGGTGACAGATTACGGGCCTGAGGCTTTACCGTGCAGTAATTAAGTCTCACAATTGATTGAGAGTTGAAGGTCTTTGCCGGCTGCGGCATGGTAGGGTCATTCATTGGTATGTAGATCGGCATGATTATAGTATTGAGATTAACACTTATCTCCATATTATATTGCATGAACAGTGACTTTATCTTTCGAAACAGTAAAGTTCCACACAGGTGACATGCTGGGACCTACCTGTACCTACCTGACTATCGACATATTACGTGTTATAGCATTTATAATAATTGTTTATAGCGACGACTATTTAGTACAGGTCATAGAGACAATATTTTTCATTAGATTTCTTTGCACACTGAAATTGATAAATGGATAATAAAATAAAATATTATAATGTTTTTGTGTAGGTATTTTATTTATATTGATACTTTATGGTCTTGGTGGTCTAGCGGTTTAGCACACCGATGGTTGCGGGTTGCATTCCTCGCACGGTTGCAAACATTTTCTGTTCATAAATATGATTGTTTGTATCTAAGTATTTATATCAGTTGTCTAGTACCCATAACACAAGCTTTTCTTACTGTGGGATTAGATGGCGCTGTATTAATTATCCAAGGTTATTTATATTAAAATATAGACAATCCTCTTCACATATCCAGCAATAGTAAACACTAATAACTCTAATAAAACTTCCCATACCGTTTCCAAAATTAGGTACCTTAAAGTTTGTATATATTATAAAATGAAAAAGTATTCAGAGGTGCTTGGTCAGAACAACACACATACATTAAAACATTTATCATTATAAAAATTCCAACCAACACGGAAGGAACCTATTTAAATTAAAGAGTAACATAAATATCAATAGGAGGTACACAATAGACGAAGATTACAGATGCAGTGTAATTGACAAGCCTCTCTATTACGATGTCGGTTAAGTTTATATATTAAATAGCGTATGTTTATAATAATTATATCCAATTACGTACAATTACATGAAATTGTTTCAAAAATTCAACCTCGACGACATTTAACACTGAAAAAAGAAGTAAACCATACCGGCTTACTCAGAACTCGTGTAATGTTCATTGCCGAACTTTTTACTCGGAATAAGTGCGTTCCTCAAAAACTGGTTGTATTTTTCTAGAGATAAAAAGTGGTCGACCGAGGCCTTGACCGACATTGTCGTGTGTGGTGTGGTCCACTGGCTAATACGAGTAACACGCACTAGTTTGATCACTGATTTATGGGATGCCAACATTATTGTATGGGCTTGAAATAATGATTAGCTATTTGTTTTAATAGTTGGAACATGACAATAACCAGAGCAAAGTACTTAATGACCTCAAAATTTTATGACTAGATACTTTTTAAAAACCTCTTATATTAATGTTTCTATGTACCTACCTATTTTTAATACAGACAACGATAGTCACAATTTTATTTTAAGTATCATGACATGGCAACTCATTAACGATAAACAGTGTTTAAGACTGCAATATTTCTTTAAGAAGAGGATATTAGTAGGTATATGTTATGTTTGTAGTTTTTACAGTTCCTTATACAATATGGTGACGAGTACCTGTGAAAATGATAGGTTGTGAATATCAAGTCCTGGTTGCGAATTCTAAATATATTTCTACATGTTTATATTAATTGTTGTACCTATACAGTTATACATGGCGTGTAGTGTAGGTAACATGGCACAGTATTAGCAAAAATGCCATTTCCCATTACTATGGATCTCCTCCGCCTACCAGGAACAATGCAAGCTTGCAGCTATTTCTTAACTCCACTTACATTGACTAACTTTTAATTTATTTTAGTTTTACTTTTTTTGTAATCGGAATGGCAAACAAAGTGACGGCCCATTTGATGGTAAGTGGTAACAGTGACTTGTATAGTACTTCTCTTTAGGTAGGAAATGGCCTCAGGCAGAAGTTGACCTTCAGGCAGGAGTTGGGTTCAGCCCTCCATAAGTCCTTCCGCGGGTTTGGTGTACCACCTGCACTTGCCTGCTGTTGTTCGGTGACAATATAAAGGTCAGCTGCGGCCAACAGCATTGGTTTGTCCCCAAAAAAAATGGTAGTTCAGTATCTCTACCCATATATGGAGATACGAGAAATTATTTCAAAGATGGTATACCTAGTAATTGCTTAAATAGATACACCAACTAAATTATGTAAATCAGTCGTTTGGCAATATAAAAACTGGATCAATAACCGTAAGTAATTTTGACTAAGCGGTAATGATCTTACCTGACCAGTCCCCAATATACTTTGGTACATATCTATAAGTCATTTTATGACCATTTCGTGAGAAAAAATAGATGACAAATAATGAAAATTTCGTCACATTTGAAGTATCGAGTTTAATTAAACGTTGTTCAAGGTTAATGTCCGTTTGAAGAATGTTTGAAGTTTAACGTTACCATTTTTGATGACTTAAAATAAGTTCGAATCCAAATTATGGTCAAATGTATGGTTTTCTACTTATTAGAAAATCTGTGTTACATGTTTCATTCGTATGCGTATCACGTGATTGTGTAAACATTTAAGAATACAGGTGTACCTACTTATACGGATACTACTATGCTATATGTCTATATGTATTTATTTTTGTGTTATAAATGAAAGATAGACATTGAAACGTCCTAATTAGCACTTCTTTCTAGCTTACATTGTAGGAACTAAATTACAAAATTGTATTATCAAACCAAGTAGGCATGCAATAGTGTGTATCTGTCAGTTTTTGTTCAGTTAATTAAATCCAGTTACCGATACTTCCTCATGTGAAAACCTCATCAGTATTACGAAAGGAATAGATAAATTTTCTTATTAAATCATTTAGGCGTAATATAGACACACAACAAAACGCACATTCACACAAATTAGTCATGTTTTTGCAATCTTTCTAATATTATAAACTAGAAACTTTGTGAGAATATATGGATGTTTGTTGCTCTTTCTATTGCACTGATTTGAATGTCATTTGGTTTATTACGCAGTTAGCACCATTATTGGAGAAATAAGAGGCGAGGTGAAGGATGATTTATCAACATATAACTTATTAGATTTTTTCGTCTGTTTGTCTGTGCGTTCGTACGCGCTAATCTCAGAAACGGGTTAACCGATTTGGGTGCTATTTTCCCCGATTTGTTGTTAGAAGCTGACTAATAATGTTTGTTTTATTCGTATATGCACAAAGCTATAATAAAAAAGGGTACGGTAGGACATAATAAAAACATGTGCATGAACATACATTTTTTTTAAAGTGTATAGTGTCTAAACTCAAGAGAAAAATGTAACGGTACGCACAAGTAAAAAAAACAGGTTAAATTAACATAATTTTGTTACGTTGAAATAAAATTTACACTAATTAACATATCTACCTCATCAATGAACGAAAGCAGTAAGTTCTGATGCAATCATAGGGGGATTTTGCGGTAATATTACTCAGCAAGTAAGGACTGGACAATCTTCAATTTGATTGAAGGTCATTGGTGTCAATTACCTTTACAATGAAAGTAAAAATTTCTGGTGCAATGCGTATTCAATTTACGATATAGGCACTTTTTTACATATTCGTAGTACTTTGTACGCAACAATATATTGTTGCGTACAAAGGTCACTGCGACGACTTTATTTTTATTAGTATCACCTATATCAGTAGGCACTTGATTTTAAGTTTAATTAAGTATAACTGGTTCCACAAAAACAAGCTATTTTTAAAATGCTAAAGAAATAAAAGTATATTACTGTCATACTCTCTCATTCGTATTATTCTTATCGACATGCCAGATTCAGGTTGTATGTTAGTATGCCTACTACAATATATGTGTATGTAGTACACATATATTGTAGTATAGTACCTATATCTATAGCAGTAAAATTTTATAAAAGTAGATATATTGTATTGTTTCTTATTGAATGATTTGATAATTCTGCTCAGAGCTGTCTTCTGTGCTGGGGTTACAAATCTAGCCTATACAGTAGATATAGAGGTGTTACTGGCAGCTTGTCTACCATTCTTTTTATAAACTTTATATTTTTTATATCTATTTTTTATATGTCACTTTTGACCATATATTGTTTTGTTACTTCTTGCTGTGAGTCCTTTTGGGAAGAATACACATTTTTACTAGTATTTGGTTTTTATTAAAATAGTAGTTGTGTTCGCGCTCCAGTAACAAGAGGATCCTGCCCTCGGGAGACACAACCCCCTCCTACTTAATTTACAATTATTAACTTGTTGTCGACGTGGGGATAAAAAGAGAACTGAGTCTTGCTGGGGTGTGCCCGGATAAATCATACAAATATTATACATGTGTCTGTCTACTTGTTACTTTTTTGTCCAATAATGACGACGTCACGAGGACGTGCATTATCTACCTTTTGTACGTATTTGTTAAATAATGGTCTTCCTTGTATAGGTTCCGATTAGCATAGTAGCAAAAGTACCGAATATTACAGGCCCCGCGTTCTCATTTTTGTCTAAACATAGAACAAAGAAATGACACTAATTTAAAAAATAGGTTATAACAAAAAAGGAGAGAATTTGCTACAGGCCCCACGTTGGTTTAATCCCGCACTGCCAGTGTCTATGTACCTCCATAGAAAGTCAGTGTTGGGAAATTAGCATTGTTATAATGCTACACGACTTCTATTCCTTCTTAGGTACTTCTCTAATAATAATTACTCTATATTTATTATAGAACATTACGACCAAAATTTCGTTAAAGATATGTTTATTTATTCATAAATAATATTAATTGTGTAATAATCATCAAACTAAACTTTGTTGGGGTGTTATAAGGAACTGTGTGTATTCTGTTACGTTATTCAACGTGTAACCTACCTACTTACCTACATCTACAAACATTAAATGACCAATTTTTGTAGATGTAGATACCCATCCATACTAATGTTAAAAATAGAAAATTTGTCTATAAGCTTGGAGGCCTGTTACCTGTACATGATTAAATCACTGAACGGATCATAATGAAATTTGACATGAACGATTGTATCACGAGCTTGGACATAGGTTATCTTTTATCTCAAAATAATGTCGCGAGAAACAGATGCAGTATCACAGACAACTCTGACGATTCAACGAGTGAAAAATTATACTTGATCAGCGTATACTTACGTAATACAATTATTTATTTCATATATTACAAATCGCAAATTTACAAGGTCAAGCGGAACCTTTCTTTCACGTCTCCACCCATCTGGAATCAGACCCGAGATAGATAACTATATATATATATATAATGACCTAATACGCTGCGCTACGCTGACAGGGTACCACTAGAAGGTCATGAAGCCAGGTGAAATTCATCATGAATTAACTGCGATGATTTCCAGGGGGAATACGTCGATCTAATAGAATACATTGCTAGCAATTGGACTACTAGCCCAAAGACATCTCATCCCCACACATCCATATATCTATTTAAGAAATTACTAATGATATCGATTTCAAATTTGTTTATTTTTTATTGACATAGTTATAACATAATTAGACATGCCGTCAGATTTTGTAATCTTGGTCTATCTAATTCCTAGTTATAAGGAAATTAATCGAATTAATATCTAGGATCTACTTCTTAAAACAACAATAATTTTTGTATCTAAATTGCACACATTATAAATGAGAAAGTATGTTTGATAGTTTATGTTTTCGCGACTAACGGCCGCACTCAAAGATGTTCCTTAAATTATTGTTAATGAATGATTAGTTAAGTATAATTAAATCTGAGCCGTGCATCCCAGAGTCAAAATATAATCATTCATTACCTAATGACAACTATATTGAAGCATAGGTCAGGGGACCTAGAATTTATGGTATCGACTGCAATTCAATAAAACAATAATTAGTAAAAATGATTCAACATCTAATATAATGTTAAGATAATTAATGAAGCAGTTATTGTGAATATTCTTAAGCAAGACAAATGTTTGGATTAGTTTCTGGCTATCTTTATCTCTTAAACATCGATTCAGTTTACGAAACTATTTGCTCCAAATTATATTTATTGATCTTGTTACCATTGACGGTCACAATTTGGAACTAGTTGTAATAAATAATAATCATTATTATAGTAGTGGAAAATAATGATATCCTATAGATTACTATAGGATTTCCCAATTCAGATAAATAGCTTAGATTTTGTGCGTAGTACCTACCTATAGTTATTTTTTTGATAATAGATGTTAATTACGCTTCTCGCTGGTAGGTATAGGTAGTAAACTGTGTTTTCTATCTACGTTCTGTATTTACATTTACAAAATATATAAATATATATATTTAGGTATTTCTGTTAGTTACTTAGTAGATGAATTAAACTATTTTCTTAGGATGATAATGATGAATGGTTGGCGCAAGTCTAACGGTAACTGGCGCAGGACTAATGCAGGATGATAAGTTTAGCTTGAGGTCTGGTCACTTAGCTCCTTGTGAGAAATTGGCTCGGAATTAACCACAACTATGTCCATGGAGGACCTCTTGGAAGTCGACTTACCGTGGTGTATATTGCTAGTGATGAGGTCCCAATGACTAATAATATAGATTAATAATGTGAATAAATAAGATTAGGTACTACATAATAAGTAAGCGTAAAGCGATAAATGTGATGTGAGAAATAAAAAAAACTATAACTATATGTATTATTATATATATAGATTTTAATACTATATTATTCGACATTACGTAGAATATTTTTATAATATAATAAATTCATGAACAGATACATAATCAGTAAAAACATTTTTCTTATTCAGATATTAATCGAATATTTGAAGTAATACCTAATGCAATCATAACAACACACTTGGTATCCTAAAAAGTAATTGGTTTATGAAATTAACGACATGTATTAATCTGTTATAGATCTGAATGAGTTACATAACTTCCTCTGATCTATTTGTCCATCGTGGTTTAAACCACTGTTTAAACCCACTCGCTACATACATGGTCTATAGTACCTGCATACATACTATTCGTTAGCGCGGTCGAATCGTCTGCGCAACATCATTCGCTAGTATAAAAGCTCTTGACAGGTTGTTACTAACACATTGATTCACAATATACCAAACAACATGGTAGCCAGAGTGAGTAATCGCCGTTAAATTTTCATAGACATGGGATCATTTAGAGCATCGCAAAGCGTCATACATACCTCACTTTATAACATATAGATCGCTAATTTGTTGTGATTAAGTACAGAAAACGTCTGTAGATGATCTACAATGTATACATACCTAATCTCGAGTGTCGTCATTCCTTTTAAATACATTTAATGAACTCGAGGGATTTTAATAAGATCACTATATACCACCCTGTTGTGTCTGGAAGCAATTAATAGTATAATTTTATCTAGAATATTATATAATTTATTATGCATATTAGGCATTGGTATACATTTAAATAGAATTTATTTGACATCTTATGTATATTTTTTTACAGATCACAACATATTTCTGTCTGGTGGCTGCAGTGGCTGCTGTGGCTGTACCAGTAGCACCTGTTGCATACTCAGCCGAACAACCGATCAATTACGAATTCCAGTACTCGGTGCAAGACCAACTCAGCGGTGATGTGAAACAGCAGAAGGAAACTCGTTCCGGTGACGCTGTCCGAGGATACTACTCTTTGGTACAGCCAGACGGCACTCAGCGCATAGTCGAATACACTGCTGATGCAGAACATGGATTCAATGCTGTTGTACGTTATGAAGGCCAACCTACTGCTGTGCCCACCAAAGTGGCCTATGCTGCTACTCCAGTGACTTACGCTGCACCTCTTGCTAAGGTTGCTTATGCAAGTGCTCCTGTGGCTAAGGTAGCCTATACTGCTCCCGTTGCAAATGTGGCTCACGCTGCAGCCCCTGTTGCCTACGCTGCTCCCGCGCCGACCAACTACTCTGTACGGGCTCCAGTCACCTATGCCACTCCCGCTCCCGTTAGTTATGCTGCATCGGCCCCAGTAACCTTTGCAGCTCCTGCACCCGTCAACTACGCTGCTCCTGCTCCTATTAACTATGCTAATCCCGCTCCAGTCAGCTACGCTGCTCCGACACCTGTCAACTACGCTGCTCCTGCACCCGTTAGTTATGCTGCCCCTGCACCCGTTAATTACGCTGCCCCTGCACCCGTTAGTTACGCTGCCCCCGCTCCCGTCAATTACGCTGCCCCTGCTCCCATAAATTACGCTACCCCCGCTACTGTGAACTACGCTGCTCCTGCTCCTGTCAGCTATGCTGCTTCTACGCCCGTCAACTACTCTGCTTCCGCTCCTGTCAGTTACGCCGCGTCGACCCCAGTCACCTACACCGCTCCAGTCGCCAAAGTGGCCTATGCACCAGCACCCGTTGCCAAAATAGCCTACTCTTCAAACCTTGGTCACGTTTCGTACTCGTCCCCAGTTGTTTCTTATCAACATTAAACTTATTTATTATAAGGTGCCATAATTAACTTTAACGTTATTTATTGATATGACAAATATTATTTAAGTTGCCTACATATTTGTTTTATATTAAAAGTGTATATTACACTATCTGTTATATAGAGTTTTACTGATCTGATGATAAAAAATATTCTTATTGTGCAGGAACAATTTGAAAAAAATATTTTTTGTTTGTATTGTGAAACATAATTAATTCTATGTATAATCGTGGAATATACTCATAATAGAGTTGTAGATTTAAGATACTGTTTTAGAATTAGAATTTCCTGTGATATTTTGGTTACAGTTTAATAAAACTGTGTGAGATCGTGTGTTATGATTTTAATTAATTTCTAATTAAATATTATTAGTAACCTAGATTCAACAAAAACTAAATATAAATATTAATCCAAATTAATACACATATTCATGGCAGCTTCAAATCATATATACTGTCATCATATCATCTTATGCGTGCATTATATAATATGCTTATTGATTAATTCATTAATAATTGATTAGTTTGAAGAGATCTATTATTAGAACATGTCATCTCATCGTGAAAGTGATTATCACCATAATAGGAGGCTAGAATCTTTCTTTTACATTGTAAAATGAGATAAGACAAGACGAGATCTCGCCTAACTCACTTTTCTGTCCTTCATATCATTTCACATATTTTTAGTTTACCTTAGTAGTCAAATGTAAATATATTATGCGCATTTCAATATTAAGTAAGTACATTAATAAAAAATTAAAATTAGAGCAATTAACAAGTTATCAGATTTAAAGTAACAAATATCTACAGATTTGCGGATCCTACTTAAGACCCTATTTCAATATTTATTTATTACCTCTGACCATAAATGACATAATATACTCTTGTCACGATGACATAAAATGTTCATGTCATATAAGATGCATTTGGGATAGAGGTCATAGGCAACTTTATTATTGCGGTTCATCAACATATCGCGGTCACCCGGAAGATGTCAAGAGTGTAAACTAGTTCGTAGGTAAATTTATGCTAAAGTATGGTCTAGACCGATGCCGAAATGTTACTCTCAATGTATTTTCAAAGTTTCTAATTTTCATAGTAATGTGTGTGACAGTGAGGAAGAGGATTAGGTATAGAAAAAAATAAACTTTATGAAGCAAAAAAATAAAAAAATGAGTTTTTAAAAACGACTTATTTAACAAGATCTTTAGAAGATCAAATAATACTTTTATTATAGGTTAGTCCATTTTTTAAAGGTCATAGTCGTTTGTTCGTTTAAGATAATCTCTGTCGCATAAAAAGGTCAACACGTGCAGAGGGTAATTTAATTCAACTAATTAATGTCGAAAGGTGTTTTCTACCGAGATGATAATTGAATGGTGTGCCCTGCACTAAGGGTAGGCGGCAGGGCAACAGTGAAGGATGATAGGATGAGCATAAGGTCAGGTAAAATAGTCCGTCGTGACAAATTCACCAAGAATTTGTCATGATGGTTTCCAGGGGGAACCGTGTGGAGGTCAGCTTGACTTGGTACATTGCTATCTATGGGACCAAGTCCACGTTACAGTCCACACCACGATCCCTCCTGATAGAGTACATTCCTAGTTATCAGGACACCAGTCCCTATTGCCAAAAGTCCTTTTACAAGGTAAAATGATAAAAATGAGGAAAAGTAATTTTACATAACAATCGAAACATAATTAGAATATGTTGTTTTAAAAATAAACATGTAACCAAAATTAGTATAAAGAATTTGAAAGCTTTAACCGAATATAACGCCGCCCGCACATGCTTATTAACATTATTAAATTAAAAAGTGGCCATACGAATATCCATTAGATATGAGTAAACTAGAGAAACCGGTATAAAACTGCGGACTTACGATTGAAGCAACACATGATTGCAGCGAGGCTATGGTAGAGATATTTTGCTGGCGAATTTAAACACTAAACACATTACACAAACTTACTATATAGGACTAAGACTACGTCATCTTATTACATATGATCTATAAAAAGATAATAATTCTTTTTTCAAATATTATTCAAAACACTATACCACAGAAATCGTCTATTGTTTGACATTTATTCAGTTACATATATGCAAACGAGTCAAATTAATAACTCTCGTTTTTAAAGCCGATATAAATTGACAAATTACATATCTAAAATATGGTAATCAATATGTCTGAATCGAGATGAATTTGCTATTATTAAAAGAAATAGAAATAATTAAATGTATATATTAATCTTAAGAGACATATAATAAAAATAATGTTAAAATAATATAATATATATTTTATTAAAAGGATGGTGGGCAAGATGCCAGCAACGTTGCACATGTGTTAGAATGATAAACAAAGGAATTAAAACATGAAAAAGTGGAACATTACACGTTCTTATATCTTAGGCTGAGGTATGGATGGATATTTCTTATAATGTGCATGGCATTTTGGACAATATTGTTCATCCATAACTTTCTACGAAACAACTTACCACTGCACGAATATTTCGTATATAAGTAATATTTTGTTTTTATTTTATACCGTCACGATTGTTATTCCAGATCAGTTAGAAGCATTGTCAAGTCACTATATTCTGGTGAACACACCACTTTTTCGCTCAAATACACATATTTGAATCCAATGTGGTAAGAAGCATAGAGCGTACCGCCGCGCCGTGCCGTCTCGCAGAATAAGTTTTGCATTGATATCGGTGTTTCCTTTATTGGAGAGTCAGTCAAATATATAAAGTGACAAATAATTAACAAAACGTAGAAACAAATAACAAACAAGCATACACTTTAATAAGTCGTATATTATATTCAGTAGTCTCAATATACATATTTATTTTATACTAGTTGTTTTCGAGTGGTCGAAATTCGACCATAGTTAAAATTTAGTAAGACAAGACACAAATGACATCTCTTCTCAATTTGACCACAGACTTTAAAATAAACAAAAAAGATTATATGCCTGTATGTCAAATACATGATAGTGTTTTTTTTATTGAATCTGCACTGTTTTTAATATAAAAGTTATTTTAACAAATAATCAAACAGTACTAGAACTAAGACTACTTCTGATAAATACATATATATTATATGCACGTATATGCTATTTTGTTAAATATAAAATCTGAAGTAAATTTAAAAATATACTTAAAACCAGACAATATTGGTAATGTATCATGAACTTCAATGTATTGCAAATTGCATCATACGTAATGTAGTCGCAAAGCGCGGCCGCCAGTTCGAACATGACTGGTATAAAAGCTCCGGTTACCGACCTAGAAGTACATTATCTGATAATATTCCTATCAAACAACATGAACGCTCAAGTGAGTTACTAATTACTGTGGAATGTAGTACAATTTTGTACACCTAATTATAAAAAAATTACATTTCTGTGTATTTTTTTGTGAAATTTTAATAGCGAACTGACGGATTATTTAATTGAAAGCGGTAATAGTTGCCTATATTATATGAGCACCACGGTAGTGGTAGCCCTCATATAATATTCCCAAGGACTAAGTTGTTAACACCTTCTCATTAAATTTGCAAAGTAGGCTGCTTGGTGATAAATTGGGAGATATATGAGTGTAATTAGAACTTGTGGTTCTACTCAGATCATAAATTAAGAAATATCTACTTTATTACGGCCTTGGCGGTCTAGTGGTTTAGCAATCTGCCTGACTTCCGATAGTCGTGGATTCGATTCTTGCACAGTATACAAATATTTGTATTCATGAGTGTGATTGTTTGTATTTACGTGTATCTATAAACCATGTTACAAGTTCTGCTTAGCTTGGTACTAGATAGCGCTGTCTGAATTATTATGTATAATTATAATTCTAATCTTTTCAGGTATTAGCCTTCTTCTGTTTCGTAGCCGCTGCGGCGGCGGTGGCCCTCCCTGTAGTACCTGTCGCCAAAGTAGCGTACGCAGAGCCTGAAGCACCCGCACACTATGACTACGAATACTCAGTGCAAGACCAACACAGTGGGGATGTAAAACAGCAGAAAGAAGGTCGCGCCGGAGACGTAGTACACGGATCCTACTCCCTCATCCAACCCGATGGTGTTCAGCGTATAGTTGAATACACAGCCGATAAAGTGAACGGATTCAACGCAATTGTTCGTTACGAGGGACACCCAGCTCCAGTGGCAGCTAAGATCGCCTACGCTCCCGCCCCAGTAGCGTATGCTGCTCCCGTCGCTAAGGTTTCCTATGCCGCTCCTGTTGCTAAGGTCGCATATGCTGCTCCCGTTGCGTATGCTCCAGCACCAGTCACATATGCAGCTGCTCCTATCCAAAAAGTAGCGTACAGCACGAACCTCGGTCAGGTCTCCTATTCATCTCCCGTTGTCTCCTACCAACATTAAGAATATCTTTGTACTGTAGTAACTTAAATTATTTATAAAATATCTAAACCAAATAAAACAAAGGAATAGTGAATTCTATTTTGCTTTTATTTTTTCCCCCAAGTCAGTGTGGAAAGAATTGCACGAGGAGGCGTCAAAACGACGTATCCGATATCAAAACGCTCTAAACGAAGTTAGAAGGAAGCGTGCGGGTAGTGTCGGGGAATCAATTGAATTATGTAGCATTATAAGGCGAGTGGCTCCGGTTACGGGGCACGTCCGCGCCCCCAACGGGCCGTTTTGACGCATTGCTCTTGAGTACTCTTGACACCTATTCAGTGTGCTAGTTTGCTCGAAACCGCCTCAATTAAAGCTAGGAACCTTACCGACGTTGTCGACTCTCGCCATACTGACTGGAAACGGAGGGCGAGATTCTGCTGATTCTTTGTCGATTAGACAGCTCATAGAAACAGTAGGTAACAACTGTATACAGTCGGCATTAATTGTTGAAGTATACAGAATGAATGTTGTTCGTAGAATGTACTCTTACTTAACTTCATATCTTTTAATAATTTATCAGTTTCAAAAACAACTTTAAATAAATCACAAGCCATTTTGAATGTATCTTATTGGTGCGTAAAAATGTGTGTTTTAATTAAGTATGTAATTTAACATAACAAATTTAATTAGTAATTTAAAATGTAGAAATAGTACTAACTTTTTTAAACACGTGATGGAGTGACACCTGTCCATTCACATCAAAAATAAATATCTAAAAATGTTTTTTTGCCTTTTTGTGTGAAACATTTATTAGTCCATATCTATGGACTAATAACCTACATATACCTACTGTTTACTATTCTTGAGTTTTGGTCATTGATTTTTTATGGTGACTGTAATATGCGTCGACGGTTGCATTAACGATTGCAGGCAAATATAAATTGACAGAACCGAACGAAAGTGGTTGTTAGGACAAAGCGGAGGGTTGGCAAAATATGTGATGCGAATATTTATTCGGCTTCCTGTTGCGATAAACTGACGTGAAGGGTTGTTAAGAAACATTTTGCATCAAAGAAATCCAGTAATGTGTATGACAGTTATTGTAAATGTTCGTTTGTACGCACAATATGGCGTTGTTGTATCGTATATAAACGTGGAAACATTGTGATGAATAGGTAGATACTTATTTTTCGCATTGTCTAGTCAAAAAGTATGTATCAATCTTTAATTGATGTTCATAATTCAATTAATACGCGACCATATAGTATCCTACTGATCTGAATGGATTTCCATTATAGGTACATAGTGGTAATTAATAGAGATTAGTTCTGTGAAGTTCGGTAGAAAAGATAGATGTGTGTGGGTACCTTTAACGTACAGAAGAAAGTAGATATATGTGAGTTTTACCCATATATACAAAAGTTCTGACGAGGAATATAGTATATAAAAGTAATAAAGCATAAGATTTATTTTTCTCTGTTTATAATATATAATAAGGTATTGACCGAAGACCGAATTGAAATATTCTTTCATTTATAGAATACTACATAGGCGTATAACTATTCTTTGATCCGTGATATAACGTAAACTGTATTACAGTCATAATGCCACAACAAGGTAATTATCCTATAAATCTGTACCTAGTAACAAAAAGTTTATATTTTGTATATATTTAATATTATTCAGAATGAATAAAAATCAACGCAAACAAATGTTTTGGTGAAGTTTTTAAATCCGCCCACAAAGGGTTGTGTTCGTGTTAATCTGGCTATTATGGGATGATGAACTATTACCCCATTCCCCGCTGCCTGCCTTCGCCTCCTCGATTCGTTTGTATAGCCATTATCACTGATATTATACCGAATGTTCCCGATTCCTTTGAGACTGGTAGCCCAGTAATTAGGATCTACTAAGGGTTGAAAGGTATTGGTAAAGCTTATAATTATAAGATTGTTGTGTATTTTATATATTTTCATAATATTTTGATTAATATTATAAATGCCAAAGAGAGTTTGTGTATATCACTTGTTATGCCATAATTTTGTTAAAGGTGGTTACTATCTGCAGCTTCAATTAATTCATTTCAAGCGCAAACAAATATACATAAAAGAAAACATTCCTCTTCATGCTATTATTGACAGTCGTCATGAAATTTACACAGACAGCAATTTCAGTTACACAGGATTTATTTGGGATGGAGAATAATACAGGTTCCTTTTTTAGGGCGGTAATTAAAATGTCCCGGACACACTCATGACAGTCCGTACTAACTTAATAAATTTAGAGTTTACACTGTTAATATAAGATCTAACGAGGATTTTGAACTAACTAAGTTAGATAAAGATAGAGACTTAGCACATTTTCCTCTGACCGCTACTGAACATGACATGTAGGCATTTAGTATGTTTGACGTAAGTATCTAGACCATTCAAACTGTATTTTTTTAATGAAAGATAATGGTATTATTCACTCTTCTGCTCTAACAGTATACGCTGGCGCGGCACCAGTAGAGGATGATAGGATGAGCATGAAAGTCAGGTCAGTTAGCACATTGTGGTAAATTCCCCAGGAATTTCTTACGTCATCAGTCCACATTACTAACAGTTCCCTTTCCCCTATAACACTGTATGTTAATATAGCGTAGTATACGTACGTCAAATAGATATCTAGAACATTCTACAGTACCTGACATGTAACATATGTACATTAGTGAGTTTGACATGCGAGTAGATACCTACATATGTTGTATACATACATTGTATTGTATACGTATATTGCACCGTACATGATGGTAAGACACTTAATAAGTTCGACATGCAGACTAAGAATCGCGTGGTCTGGTACCGATCGCCCTAGATACTGCAGCCGAAAGGAGAATAGGGCTACATATTCGGCGTAGAACCAATTCTTTACCTTAACTTTTTAGTCTCCGACCGCACCTTCTCTTTATTTGTAACTCTGCCTGAATTATAGATAAAGAGAAGGCGCGGTAAGTTTCTTAATATTTTCGGTTAAGTAATATTTAGTGTCTATGTAGTCTCTCGACACCCGTCTCAAAGGCGAGGACAGATCGCATAAATATTACTTAGATATAACTTAAAAAAAGAATTGACATGGAAATAATGAGTGACATAAATACCTGAATACATCTATTTGCAGTCTATGTAAGTTATTAATATAACTGTAAGTGAAGTTCAACATATACTAATAAGTTGAACTTAGATGTTGTCCAACATATGCGCCAATATGTCATGAAATTTACGCCATATGCCAAAGACAAAACTCTTCAAGCGAATCCCTGCAAATATCCCTATGGGTAGTAATTAAAAGAATACTTTGTTGAGCATATTTGGCAACAATATAGGTTTAATTCGTCACGCGAACATATCACGGAAATGGACGACGCACGGCGGCACGTGCGCGCCACAATTGCACTGAGCTTTGTGCAGGCTTCAGATTGTGCCGGATGACTGGTCGTGTCAAGTTGCACAGGAAAATAGACATCAATTGTAAAGTGCCGTGAATAGTGATGGCATATTTTTAAAGGTAATTGTGATGCTGGAACGACTAATAATTATGATTTATATAGAGTAACATTATTTGTATATTGTTGCCATTTATACACGTAATATTTTATATCACTATCCCCTACGTTAAGTTCGGTTACTTCAGTAAAAAAGAACCGTTTTAAGATTAAGATTACTTGGTCATTTTAAATATACCATTTATAACCAGTAGAGTAATTTTGTACGGCACCTATTCGAATGTGTCTATGCCTTCTTTAATATAGGTACTATACGAATTCGAATAGTAAGTACTTACATCAACGAAGAGTACATAAATGAAAGAAAATCGTGGTAAATACATTTCTTTTATAACAGAGTCAATAATAAGAAACTATAATTAATTTGCTATTTCATCTCTAACTATGAAAAGAATCTTAATCCCTCTCATAGTAAATTCTAAGAATATTAGACATATGAGTACATACGTACAGTGGGCACCACAGAGATGTAAAAAAATTCAAATATTACCATAAAACAGACATATTCAATACACGACGTGTACAGAAACGAATTATCCAAAGTTGTCAGTAATATCTTCTCGGGAGATATTCAATTTTGAAATAAAGCATCGTTTAATCCAACTTTTCTAATTAATCGGTGATTTCGAAACTTAATCACTTGGTAGTCTGCACTAAGCTAACAACCACCTACAAAATGTTGATATTTTATTGTAATTGATAAATTAAAAAAATATATACCTACTTCAATAATAATTGCAACCGTCCAAAGTTGGGACGGGTGTAAATGTTAAGATTTATTTGAAAAGCTACTACTATACTAATGCCCATATCATCACCATATATTGTAGTTATGATACTAACTGTACCTACACTCTTAATTAATATTAGGTATTTATCTATCTTTTTACATTCATCTGACTTATAATAGGAAAAATCGAAAATATGTCTGTTCTTTATTTTTTACGTCTAACGCTGCTGAACGGGTATTAATTAATTTTCATGCAGAGATAGACTGCTAGATAGATAGATTATCTATCTTTTATGTCAAGAAGTAGACGAAATCACGGGTAACAGCTAGTGGAATTATGAAAGATACTGACATAGCAGAAAACGCAATTAAAACTTAAACGTAACGCTTAATAACTGCGATTCCTCGTATTTTCACAATATTTAGGATTGCGGAGTTTCCAATTCGAATATTCCTTACAGTTATCGCCCCGAGGTGACTCCAGGGAGGTGGGCACGCTGCGGAGGACGAGGCGAGGGTGGCGAGAGGGTGACTCCTGGTGAGGAGCGTGGGACGGGACGCAGAGGGCGACGGGGGACAAGACTATGTCGGAAACAATTAGGCGGTGCGCAAGCGCGGCAGCTTCCTGTTCGCCTAATTGGCGTATCTCTGCTACGCTCAATGTATTCCTATTATAATTGACAGCCATGTTGCTAATACAACAATGAGATTAGATTGATATCTGCTTTATACATAAGCAATTAAGTG